AACTACCCCTAAGTCTAAATATAATAACTATTCTAACCTATAATCATCTGAAGCAACTTGACCCTGATATTTATTATGTGAATGAAAAGTCACATTGGGTGGGACAACCAATACAGTCTGATTAGACAATGGAAGAAGACCATTCCCAGAAAGTGTCTTAAGAAGGATTTCTTCAGCCAGAAGCTCATTCACAACTGCATCAACTGTGGGAAGGGGACGACGATGAAGAATAGAACCGCGAAGTCTCTCAAAGTCATCTCTAAGAGCCATAAAAAACTGCACCAACTACTGCTCCTCCCTAAACGTGCGATAAACCATATGAGCACTAAGTTCAGCAAGTTCAACAAGTGCTAACTGATCCCAATATCCAGTCATAACTGAGTAGAACTCCTGTATGATCTTATCACCTTGACGTGCAGCTCGAATGTCATGCTCAAGCTGATATCTCTTTGCAAAATTGGACTGAACAAATAATGTAGTTGAATAATCTCAAATCTCTTTGGTTGTATTAAACTTAGTCAAATGAACACCAATGGTCTGTTCAACTGAGTTGTTAATCCAAGTGATGATTTTATCATTGTTAATTTCCCAAGTGTTGTTTAAGTCAACATATTTATTTACCTTCGAATCAATTGGAGCTTGCAAATCACCACTAACATAACACCACATCTCCTTACCTAACAAAAAATTCTTCATAACATAAGTCCAATAAGAATAATTTGTACCATTTAATCTTACACTAATAGGAATCAGAATTTCCACTCATAATGTTAAACAAAGTATCAATTCTCACAACAAAACAAAACTCAAACCAAGTCAAAATAGTGGGAGTCCAATTACCAAACCTGTGAAGTCACCCGAACACCACCAGTGCAGCCACCAGCGAAGACCTCCCAGCAGCCACACCAGAACAGAAACCAGATCTCCTCACAGTGTAGCACAGCGAAGCCAGTGAACAAGTTCAGTTGAAAAAAAACAGTAAGTTTTTCGCCCCAAACTACTTCAAACTCCTTCGAATCTCTTTCCCAAACACACAAAGGTCATATTCGCACCTTGTCCAACGAATTTGAACTAGAAAAATCAACAAAATCTAACCCAGATTTTGGTTTTCAAAAATCGCAGAATACTACCCCAAATATATTCAAAAAATTAGAAACTCAACAATCTGACCTCAAAATCAAAAACCCAATTGTACCATGTTGTTACCCATGAAGAATCGAGCAAGGAGGTGGTTCTGGGTTGCTGACATCATCTGTCAGAGTGATGACGTCAGCCCTAACATTGATGAATAAAACTACTTATTTTTTTTTTTTTTAAAGGTATGCTAGGATCAAACAAAGCTCTGATACCATGTTAACATTGATCAAAGACAAGAAAAGTAAGAGAAAGATGAAGAGAATATTATTGAGGTACAATAAGTCAGAACAACAAAAAGAATACACAATGTAGGTTCTTATATATTAGGGCAACAAAATAATATAACATGCCTAAACAACACATAATATAAATACTCTAATAGTGACTCTAAAAGTGACGTTAGAGATATAAAAGATAGAAAAATTAAGGCTGAGTAAGCAAAATTATAATTAATACTAATTCTTTGAAAGTTGTACATGGTGTACAAGTCTTACCCCATTTTGTAGATGGGTTAAATTCAATTGAAACATGTTATCTTTCCTTATCTATTATTTGATTTTCTTATCGTTTGAAATATCATATCAGAAAGTTGTGATGGCAGTAAAATATAAACCTTTATTCTGAGTCAGCTTTGACAACTATTTTTAAAAATTGTATTGGATGAAAATGTGAAAAATTTTTGTCCAATGGGCAAAGTCAATCCATATTGCATAGAAAAATAAAATCACGATGTGGTATACTTGAACCATCGAAGAAGGAACAATTGTTAATAGAGAAGTATCATTGATTATGTTGTTAATTATGTGAAGGCTACCATGGAAAGTCGTAAGGCTATGGTGGAATCACCCTCTACTATCTTACCGGATGCAGGAGATCGTAATCCTAGAACTCCAACAGAGGGATCAAATGCGGGCAATTCAAAGCCATTACCTTTTGAGTTTAGAGCTCTTGAAATATGCCTAGAGTCTGTGTGCAACATCCTTGAATCTGAGGTATGTCACTGGCATTCAAGTTTATGGTTATTGGTTGACTTGTTCAAACATGTTTTATCTGTAGTCTGTGTACTGCATGTTTTCGCAACATGATGCATATTTTCGGAATGTGACCCAGTGATTACCTTTGAGTTATTGTACATTTAAACTTGATGGCCATTGTATTCTTCGTGCCTACTGTTATTTTTTTGTAGTTTTGTTTTATCTTAATATATTGTGTGCATTTCCAGGTATAATAATTCTGATTCTTATATTCCTGTTATCATGGGGCAGCATCATCCACCTCATTAATAATGTTATTTGAGTCAAAATCTTATATTTGTGCTTTTTAAGATCATCAAACTAGCAAATAACTCGGCGTCAAAATTTGTTATTTTGTCTTTTTGTCCATTTATTATACTAGCAATGTGCGACATTTGTTGCTAGTGAACATTTTTAAATAATTGTAATTAAATTATGTACTGAATAATTATTTCGAGAATCTAATTTGACAACTACATTTTTATAATAACAGAATATAGATTGAATTTTACTTATTAATATAAATACATACATAGATATAGAAAATTACATATAAGTGTACCAATAATAAATAAGTCCAAAAGAATTTGAAAGTCAAATACTATTAATAAAAGAGTCCAAAAGAAATTGGAAGTCAAATTGGTGTAGAAAAAAAAATTGGATAGCAGTAAATATATGGGTATAATTGACTTTATAATAATAATTAAGAAGGAAATAGGAAAATAATTTTTTTTCCAGATACTAACATTTATAAGTAGTATAGATTATAGTCCAGCATAACACGCTTGGTCTGTATTTTTTTAGTAATTCAGTCTCACTGAATAAAATAAGGTAAAATGTGGAGATGCAATATAAAAGATATAAAATTATAATATCAATATTAGATTCCGACCATTTTTCTTACTCATTCATGGTTGCAACCAAGTAGTGTTCAACATTCAAATCCAGTGCAATTCTTTTCCGTTAAGCATGTTATTTTATGACTAAATATGAGGAAGAATCTTAGTTCCTGCACCTTGCGTGGCATCTCCCAATCTACCACAGCTTGCACGCACCTTCTATTGATCCAACCAACTCATGTTGTCGCTAATCCAGTGCCTAAGGAACTAGACCTTATGCAAAGCACCTTTTTTACATAGAACTGATTTTCCCCTATGATCTGGAATTGGTCATAGTCTGCCAAGAGGCCTTATTTATGGAGTTTCTATTGCTAGACATGATAAAATTTTCCGAATCTACTTATTAATTTTTATCATCTTAATTTCTTATCGTTGCTTTTGTAATTTTATAAACACATTTTTAAGGCTGGGCAATAGACATTTTGTTGCAACGCTAGCAGGCCTTATCGACCTTAAAAAATCTTATGGATGCTTCCCTATGATTAGACTAATATTTATGAGATTTAATCTTTTATAAAGCATGCATCACGTATGTAATACTAACACTGTGGAATGACCTTTTCAATTTGTTGCCCTGTTGATAGTTTATTGACATGACCACATTTCAGGCAGTCTTCAAGTGGTTATGTGTGACATTACTTTGGTTTTGTTCCTCTTTGGTTGACTTTAATGTGCAGTTTCTACTGGTCTAAATGCTCAAGCTTTGGGAAAGTTCAACCGAAGCATATGTGCCATTAGCCACTAGTCTGATAGTTGAAACCCAACTTTGATATCAGGTTAACAACTGGCAGGCATCAAAGGTTAAGTTTGATGGATGGCGGTGTAATTGTGGTTCATACCAAGGTTGTCAAAATGTGTATCGCAACGCATATCATTTTTAAAAAATAATGTATCGAGTATCGTAAGATGTACTCAATTGAAATATATATATACACATACACATACCTAAAAATGTATAAAAATATAGTGTCCCAAGTAATATTAGTACTATTTCAACTCCCTAAACATTTTGTGCGATGCTTGTTTCTTTTAGAGATCGAAAGAGAGAAAAACGTTTGTCTTCATGGCAAAGATCGAAACGTAACTAGAGTTTTGTCTGTTGGAAAGGAAGAAGAAGAATAGCATTTTGGAGAAAGAACGGGAAGACGGTGATCCGCTTAGTTTATTTGTGATCAAACCAAAAAAGGAAAAAATTAGCATATATGAAACAACATAGTTCCAATGTATAGATTAAAAAATTAAAAAAAATGATCTTGTGAGCATTATTTTTTTATTGTATCGAAACGTATTGTAAAATACGGTGGAAAAATGAAACGTATCGGTGAAATATTGTATGTAGACATATCGTAAAATACATATCATGTATTGTAAGATACGATACTGGCAACTGTGGTTTATACTATGAACTTCATAGTATTGGCCGATACCGGTACTAGACATCCGAGATCTATACACAGTTAAATAGTAAATTGGTATTAGGGTTAGAGATAGAATGAGAGAAAGAAAGATAATAATCAGTTGTGTAAGCTATGTTTCCCTACACTTTTTTATTTATAGTAAACAGATATTGTAGGAATTACAATATTGCCTAATAATATAAATAAGAACTCGAACATACACATTTAGTGTAAAAAAGGAGTCTCACCCGACTCGGTCGAGCCATCTTTGAGCCAACTGTGAGCCTCGATGTGGCCTGAATCTCTCGACATGTTGAACTTGTTCTTCTATCTAGCATTGCGCAATGCCACGATAAATGAGCCTTGGAGGGGAGGAAGGTTGCACAATAGCCTTGAACTATGAGGTATAACATTATATATGCCATGGCTTAGCTAGTAATTCTAATTTACCGTGGGTTGTGACCTTAGCTACTGTTAATTAGAACACAAAAAGCAATTATTTGTGTTTTCTATGTTCTTTTAAAAGAAGAGTCATTCCATGCTCGTCAAGAAAACACATTGTTCTTAGAATGTCTAGGTTAATTAAGGACCTATTCTCTCATAGATGGTGTTTTCCACCTTAGAAGAGTTATTGTTTTTCCAATGGTGTTGGAACAAATGCATCTTGAAGTATGCATTCTTGCTCCTCTTTAAGTAGTGTTGGTTGTGTAATTTTTGGATTACCATATGTTTTTGCTGATTTATACAGACTTCCACGCTGGAGAAAGAGGCATATCCAGCTTTAGATCAATTATCCGCTAAAACCAATGCAGATAACCTACAACGTGTGAGGCTTATAAAAGGTCGTATGGTTGCTCTGTCTGGACGTGTTCAGAAGGTAATAGTAATCTCATTATTGGCTAATAACATTACCTATCTGTGGAGTGATTTACTTGGTACAAGGATAAGTAAAACTAATTTATTGATCTTTCCTAGTTTGCTACAAGTATTGACATTTTATAGTTTTGTTATTTGGAGAGATGGTGATGTCAACTTTTTCACTTTCATCCTTTAGTTCCTCACATGCCAATGGTACATGCATTTACAACTCAGAGACCTGCACAACAAACTTTAACTGTCCAAAATGTAAGCCAAAGAGGGGAAGAAAAGAAGGAAAGATAGTGCTAGTCGAATTATATTAATCTGGTACTAGTAATTGACATCTGACGTATCTCTACAGTATTTTGGTCAGGTGCTTCAATTAAAATTAAAATTATCACAACGAAGAATATGTATTTTTAACTGAATTCTCTGTCATAATATTCTTCGAGCACTGGTCAGATATAGTACCTAATTTAGTTACTTAGATAAAATTGAGAGTGGAGGCTTAATGAAACTTAAAGACATGAAAACTAAAGAGTAATTCTGAACCAATGCACAACCTGAGCAATGACCCTTTTTCTGAACTAGAGTAATGGACTTAATGACTGCGAATTAAGCCTCACTCACAAAAATCCANGAAGAGTAATTCTGAACCAATGCACACATGGACCATCCCTGAGCAATGACCCTTTTTCTGAACTAGAGTAATGGATTTACTGACTGCGAATTAAGCCTCACTCATAAAAATTCATTCAAAGTCTGTGTATGTGATCTGCATGCGCAATTTGCACTGAGAACCTCAAGAAAAACAAGATGGCAACAATAATACAAAAGCTCAGCAAGGATTGAAATTGGGGTGTCTATGTGGTGGGGATCGTGTAGGAATTTGATAGATATTTTAAATTAATCATAATTTAATATTTATCTTTTAAGTATTTTATTTTACCTTTAAGGGCTTAGTTGTCATTATGACTATTTATTTCTTTTAGAGTTCTTTTAGGATTTGTGTTCTCCCTATATATATAGGAGATATGTTATTTGTTTAGGTAGATTTTGATTATTGATTATTGATATTGAATCTTCTTTCTAAAATTCTTTCTCTGTTCTCATCCCCTTCTTCTTCTTTTCACATCCCTTTCTTCTTACCTTCTCATCCCTAATTCTTCTCTAATACGATCTACATCACTATGTAATCATTGTTTTGTTATTCTATATGGCAACATTGTTAGAACATCTTTAACAATGGTTTATTTAATGTTATTTTTGTCTTCTCTTATCCTTTTTCCTGGTCTTTCTCTGGTTAAACATTTTGTACCAATAGTACTGAAGGACTGATAAAATGCAATTATTTCAAATTTTTTTCTATGCCGATTCCGAATCATGCGTCTTTCTCATAAGACTGATGAAAAGAGTGACGTAGCCTTACCCCTAGTTTTCAGATCAAGGTGTTACCTATAACACAAATTTCAACTAGAACACAACGATGTTAACTTAAACTAACTAGGAGTTGGCTGCATGTATTTAGTTGTGTATTCTATCTTGAGCCATGATTCATGTTTCGTTTGTACCTTCCCTTGCTCTTTTTCCTCCAAACATGTGTGTCCATCATGCACTTGGATTGTTATGAATTGATTGAAGTTATCCTAATGCTACATATTTCTCAGGTGAGAGATGAGCTTGAACATTTATTGGATGATGATAGGGAGATGGCTGAGATGTATTTGACTAATAAACTTGCCAGTCTAGAATCCGAAGGTTTTTTCCCAGGTGATGAGCCACAGAATGATGCTAATGCATTTGAATTAGATGACGTGAGGTAAGTGAAAACATTTTGGTGCCGTTTCTTTTCTTCAATGCATCTAAAAGTTTGCTTATTGTTTACTGTTTACTTTTTTTTTTTAAAACAAGAAAAGGCTATTTCATTTCATTCAAACAGAAGGCAGACTACAATCAGAAATTAAAATAGTTTACTGTTTATTTGATCAATGAATTTGTACTTCCTCCTCAATTATCACAATATTGCCATACAGATTGCCAGACTAGGCATAATTGAAAAAGCTTAAATTGTCAATAATAAATATTCACTGTGAGTAAAAGAAAAAGTTGGCACTGTTCTAGCTTTTGGCAGGATTTTTACGAACTACGACTAACATGGCACAACTGGTTTGATCATAAATAAAGTATTCATTTCTTATATTTAGTTAGTTTACTCTGGAATTTTATAGGATTTATATTTCATAATGCAACTAAATTTCATAGTTTGGTTAATGATCGAAGGCCCCTTGAAACAAAATACAGCTGGAAAATCACGACTGACTTGGCTTAATTAATATTGATCAGAATAAGGTTTCCTTGTAAGAAACTCTTGAGGTCTGGATTTAAGATTTTGCTTGAATCCAGTGTCTTTCTTTGGAAAGACACATCTATGCATATCCGTTTGGCCAAATGGGAATTTTGGGTTAATATAATGATAACTTTATAGGTGGTGTAGATATTGGTCCCTTTTGCCAGATAAGGATTATGGAATCTCTGCTTAGTTCTTTTAACCATGCTAAGCAATGAAATTTAACAATCATTTTGGTACCATTAGATTTCTGAGTTGATGTGTCATGCTTCTTGGTTTTCATATTCAGCAACGAGGACATAAGTTACAAAAGCCGCACTGCACCTGTCAGAAGTTATTGGCCAAATATTGAGGAGTTGGAGTCGCTATTGGGAGCATACTTCATGCAAATGGAGGAAATTTTAAACAAGCTATTCACTGTATGTTGTACTTTCCTTTAATATAACTTTCGCCATAATCATGAGATAATTTACCCCATTACTTAGATATGTATAAATTTGCAAATTCCTAAAAGGTGCGAGACTCAGTCCTCGAGGCATGGCCTAAGGTAAGGCTTCATGAGTTTTTGTCATCAAACACACCATATGTCTTCAGCAGTGCAAATATGAGATTCATGTCATACAATTGAGGCTTCTTTTTCCCTTATTAATATGATTTGTGGATACCAAGATGCACCTTTTGTAATCTCCTCAACATATAGGCAGTGAGTTGCACTGAACTAGAAAAACTGCCTTCTGAAAATCATTTTACTCCCGTGGGTTGACTTCTCTGAATATAGTGCTTTGTAGGACTTGGAGAAAAGTTTACACCGACAGTAACACATGGGACTCATTATTCCCCCAATTCTAGTAGTCTCATCTCCTACGTATACAATTTTTTTAGCATGGAAATTTAGACAAGTATTGGATTCTGATAAATTTTAACCACATTTTCTTGATTTTCCTATATGCATTTTTATAAGGTAGAATCATGCTCAGATTTGAACACAGGACTTCATTTCTATATTGTTGTGGAGATTAATGTGAAGGTCATTAAATTAGACTTCTTTANTAAAACAAGAAAAGGCTATTTCATTTCATTCAAACAGAAGGCAGACTACAATCAGAAATTAAAATAGTTTACTGTTTATTTGATCAATGAATTTGTACTTCCTCCTCAATTATCACAATATTGCCATACAGATTGCCAGACTAGGCATAATTGAAAAAGCTTAAATTGTCAATAATAAATATTCACTGTGAGTAAAAGAAAAAGTTGGCACTGTTCTAGCTTTTGGCAGGATTTTTACGAACTACGACTAACATGGCACAACTGGTTTGATCATAAATAAAGTATTCATTTCTTATATTTAGTTAGTTTACTCTGGAATTTTATAGGATTTATATTTCATAATGCAACTAAATTTCATAGTTTGGTTAATGATCGAAGGCCCCTTGAAACAAAATACAGCTGGAAAATCACGACTGACTTGGCTTAATTAATATTGATCAGAATAAGGTTTCCTTGTAAGAAACTCTTGAGGTCTGGATTTAAGATTTTGCTTGAATCCAGTGTCTTTCTTTGGAAAGACACATCTATGCATATCCGTTTGGCCAAATGGGAATTTTGGGTTAATATAATGATAACTTTATAGGTGGTGTAGATATTGGTCCCTTTTGCCAGATAAGGATTATGGAATCTCTGCTTAGTTCTTTTAACCATGCTAAGCAATGAAATTTAACAATCATTTTGGTACCATTAGATTTCTGAGTTGATGTGTCATGCTTCTTGGTTTTCATATTCAGCAACGAGGACATAAGTTACAAAAGCCGCACTGCACCTGTCAGAAGTTATTGGCCAAATATTGAGGAGTTGGAGTCGCTATTGGGAGCATACTTCATGCAAATGGAGGAAATTTTAAACAAGCTATTCACTGTATGTTGTACTTTCCTTTAATATAACTTTCGCCATAATCATGAGATAATTTACCCCATTACTTAGATATGTATAAATTTGCAAATTCCTAAAAGGTGCGAGACTCAGTCCTCGAGGCATGGCCTAAGGTAAGGCTTCATGAGTTTTTGTCATCAAACACACCATATGTCTTCAGCAGTGCAAATATGAGATTCATGTCATACAATTGAGGCTTCTTTTTCCCTTATTAATATGATTTGTGGATACCAAGATGCACCTTTTGTAATCTCCTCAACATATAGGCAGTGAGTTGCACTGAACTAGAAAAACTGCCTTCTGAAAATCATTTTACTCCCGTGGGTTGACTTCTCTGAATATAGTGCTTTGTAGGACTTGGAGAAAAGTTTACACCGACAGTAACACATGGGACTCATTATTCCCCCAATTCTAGTAGTCTCATCTCCTACGTATACAATTTTTTTAGCATGGAAATTTAGACAAGTATTGGATTCTGATAAATTTTAACCACATTTTCTTGATTTTCCTATATGCATTTTTATAAGGTAGAATCATGCTCAGATTTGAACACAGGACTTCATTTCTATATTGTTGTGGAGATTAATGTGAAGGTCATTAAATTAGACTTCTTTATACCATGTTAAACATATTGGATAGTTCTATCTTTATTTGTTTAAAGTCTAAACACTGCCTAGTGATTCTTTGCAATTGTACTATATACAACAACTTATAAATATTTCTGTTCTGTTAAAAAGATTAGCATATCATCGTTCTCATTTCTCAAGAACCCTGCCAGGACATTGTTCATGAGTTGGTTAACAAATTTAGTAAGATCTAAACATTGTTAACTTCTTCCCTATGTTCAGCAAGAATGAATGCTACCGATGTTTCTTCTTTCAATCTGCCATACATTCATGATCGACCATTCTGATATTTTATTTTTTTCTTCTTTGGTCCCACAGATGCGGGAATATGTCCATGATACAGAGGACTACATCAACATCATTCTGGACGACAAACAGAACCAGCTACTGCAAATGGGTGTTATTGTTAGCTCATTAGTGTTGATTATGAATCTTGGCGTTGTGACTGATGCAGTAATGAACATGAACATCCACATCAGTCTCTTTGATGCTGGAAAATATTTGCAGTTCTATGAAACTGCTGCTGGTATTGTTTGTGGCTGCTCAACCATATTTTTTTTAGCCATCATGTTGGGTAAGAAAAAGGGGTTGTTTGGTTGATGAAATTTTGCTCTTGTGGATGTCAGAACAGAAGTAAATAGTATCTGTTATGAACATGATACTTGGAAGTATATTGATGTAATATTAAGAATGTATGTTTCGAATTCTTTCCTACATGAAACAAAGATATGAACTGGGTAAATAGAAATGAAAAGATGTTTCAAATACATTACAATTATAAGCTTTTTCTACATCCTTGCGCCTAGGGGTGGTAATCGAGCCGAAGGAATGAGTTCGAGTTCTAGTTCGAGTCTCAATCTGATGAGTTCATTTTTAGAAAAGAGCTTAAAAAGGTGTTCCAATTCGGTTCGTTTTCTAAATGAATGAGCTTAAGCCGAGCTCAAAACAAGCTGAGTCCATAACTCGACTATTTTATATATAAATGAGTCAAATTTTATAAATTTGAACCTAAAATGAGCTGAGCTTGAACGAGTTTAAAAAATTATTTGAGTTTGGCTCCTTTTTCAAATTGATCCTTGAGGGGAGACCCATTTATTTTAAGAAAGGGAATCATTCAACTTGACATCTTTTGGACTCGTGATTGTAATGTATATTTCAGATATTTTCAATTATCTTCAAACCATGAAAAAATATTTATTACTATTATAAATGAGTCAAATTTGTATCCATAAATTTGAACTTTACACGTTACTTGAGCTCAACTTGAATATTAGAAGAGCTCAAAAGCTTAATCATGCTCGATGAATTTTGTAATTCAAAAATACTTCAACAAGCCAAAAACTTAGTCCATCCCTAATAGTGGGATGCAAGATTTGTAAATGATTCAATCTCTTAGATTGGGATATTTACAAATCTTGTATTTTTAAATACTTGTACATTGATTATAGGGTTAATTGTACAAAAAAGTCCCTAAAGTGTGGAGTTTCTCTAATTTTGATTTTCAATATTTCCAATGCATCGTTTTAGTCCCTTAAATAATGAATGTGTTTTTATGTGTTCCTCAAGCGGATAACGTTCAAATTACTAACAATTTTTTTATCATAAATGTAATGTGATACTTAAATATAGGTAAAAAAATAATTTGAGTAGTTCTTGACCAAATTATATCCAAATTTTAGTCAAATAGCTACCCAAATTATATATTTTTTGTCAAGAGTTATCCAACACATTTTTTTGTCAATATTTAAGTATCACAGGACGAGCTTATAATAAAAAATTGTTAACAATTTAAACGTTGTCTATTTAAGGAATCACATAAAAACATATTTAATATTTCATGGATTAAAATGATACAATTGAAATGTTGGATATCAAAATGAGACAAATTTCATACTTTGTGGACCTCCAATACACTTAATCGTTAATTATATATATACAATGTCACTGTCACACATTGATAGGACTTTTTAAACATATTAAACTATTCAACAATAATATACTGACCAAGAATTTTTTATTAAGTTTTTCATCTTAAGTGATGTGACACAGTTTTTATTATCAAATAAGTGAGTCTCATTAATATTCAATAATGTAGATTATACCATGTTACTTAAAATGAAAAATTTGGTAAGCATAACATTATTAAAGCACCTATTATCTTTCAATCCCCAGCAAAATCGGTGGGTTGATTGTTTTAACCTCCCTAGGAGAGAAAAAATATTACGTGTAATCGTTATACCATATCAACAGTGTCACATGGTATAACGGTCCACTAATAAGTAGACAAATTAGCAAATGAGCCATTTGTGGATGAGAAAATATTCATCACAACGGTGATACCTCATAACAACATGACATGATATCACCAACTAATAATAAAATTTCAAATAAACAAATGAACCCCACAAAAATTAATAACTAATATGTCCTGTAACTAAATAACTTTTCACTCTTTTTTCATGTAAGTCCAAATGGAGTTCACTATAATTATTTAAAATTTTATTATTAATTGATGATATCATGTCTGATCACCGTTGGATTCAATATTTACTGCTCTTGCACCGGTCATATCATACGTATAGATACATATAAGAAGTTGACCTTATTTTTCTATTTTGTTCTTTTGTTATTGAATGGTTACGTAATGTCAACCATGTCCAATATTTACTACCCAGTAGGAACTTCCCCACCTAGAACTTTTCCCGCGCCCATTTGAGTTTTAAAAAACCGTTGATTATACATTTTTCTGGGAGAGAGAAGGAGAATAACAGTCTAACTGGAACAGGTGAACTTGGTTTCAGTATCCATCTCTCTCTCTCTCTCTCTCTCTCTCTCTCATGTCATATTCTAAACAAATGAAGGATTAAATCTGTCTTAATTTAATCTCCAAAACCCTAAACTTCAACCCCATTTTTCAACTACCACCACTCCAAATCATCGCTTGCAAACATGCAAGATCCAGTTGAGCTCAATCGAAGCATACCCTTTCCGATTCAGACGAAGCGTAAAAAGGCATGGCTGATTGTGCCAGAAAACGGAGACTCGAATATTGAGGATCTCGGAAAACATCTGATTATGCGCCGGACAGGAATCTCGGCCCACGATTTGAGGGTTCTTGATCCGGATCTTTCTTACACTTCCACGATACTTCGTAGAGAGAGGGCAATTGTTGTGAGGTTGGAGCATATCAAAGCAATCATAACGGCGGCTGAAATTCTTGTTCCCAATCCGATCGACCCAACTCTTGAATCTTTTGTTTGGAATCTCAAATGCAGCCTTTTGGGTCTTAAAGGAACTGTGAGTATTTTGATTATTTGTTTTTTTTTTCCCCCAATGAAGATGAACTTTCAATACAGTAATTAAAATTGCTTGTGGATTTCTTTTTTTCTGTTTTTTTTAATAGCGGAAAATTTAGGGTTTGTAGAAATAACATTGTGATAACAATAATATTATTTGAACCTAATTTGTTGACTCAATTTAATAGTTATGAGTGATCAGGTCAATAAATTAGGTCCAAATAGCATTGCTTGAGTGATAGTTGGTGTTTGAATTGACAACAGTTTGTGCTTAAAACCCCAGAGCAAGTAATTGATAGAAAAATATAAAAAATATATAATTGGTGAATAAAATATAGGTGCTGCAATTATTGTTTGTGGTATTTCAAATATAGTAAAATCACTTATTGAAATTTCTAATTTGAAACATGTAATATATAACAAAACAATAATAATCAAGTGCAAAATAGTTACACAGAAAATTGAAACAGTTATAAAAGAATTAACGAAACAGTTACATCAGTTTTACCGAAACAGTTACACGCAACTGTTTGTTTAAACAATATAAATACTAACCTGTTTGCAAAATAAGAGCTATTATTGAACTTTAAGTAGATCAAGACTATTGTTTAACACTATAGCTTTATGACATATTTTGCCCCCACACACGGTACTTATAGAATATCAAACGTCTGTCTCCCAGGATACAATGATCTTTACATGAATAGAAATAGTACTTCAATCTACTCCTCTAGTGAATCAGAAATTGTGTTGTGTACTGTCCAAATGCAGATTGCCTGAATACCGAAAATACAATGTACTAATGTCTGGTTTAACTCTGAACCTGGACTGATGAATGAATGACTGCAAAATAGTAATGAATCTGAGTATTTATAGACACTTTGATGACAACCACAATAATAAAAAACACAACCCAAAAAACAAATGCAACAGTCAGTAGACACCACTTGTGTAACTATTCTCTATAAACAGGCACAACTCAATTTTCGAATTGAGGGAAGCAAAAATCCGAACCAACGTGATCCAATGGACACCGAAAATTAAATTTCGGTTCAAAAATTTTTGCCCAATTAATTAAATAAAATTTCTCCAAAAAAATAGGACTTGGTCAAAATCACACCCGTACCCGAGCCTAGCCCAGCCAGTCATGGTGGGCGGTGGGCATGCGTGGTTGAACCGAAGTCATGTAAGCACTCGCTCCGCTCATAAAATTATGGTACCCTTTTTTTTTTTTAAGTGAAATTTTATTTATTAACAAAGCAGGTTTTACAAGAAGCAAATGAAAGGCACAAATGCCTTAACAAAACAAAAACAAGGCACAAATGCCTGACAAAACAACCAAAAACTCCTAATATTAAAAGCTAACAAAAAAACCAGTGTGTTCCCAGTCAGCATCTTCAAAGCAGCCATAATCCTTACCTTCCCTTCCAAAATATTTCAAACAAATCAACACTTATTCTAAAGTGCAGATTTTCAGCAAGATCAAAGCAGTCAGCCCTTATCATCAAACAACATCTTTTTCATCTTCCGCAAAAAAGGCAGACCCAACTGGTCATTACCCAGAGCAAGTCCAACCTCACATTGCAGTTGTAAATGAACTGAAAAGTCAATCGGTCTCCTCTCTATCACAGCTTGATTCGCTAGTCTATCAGCAACTGTATTGGCCTCTCGAAAAACATGTTTCGACTGATAATTCAATCCTCCTAGTGAATCCTTAATCTGCCTTAAATAGTTCAGGCAAGACCAAGGACATTCAGAAGCCCCTAAAACTGAATTTACAAGAACCAGAGACTCACTCTCAATTAGAAAACCATCACAACTAAGACCATAAATCTGGATGAGATGCAAACCATCGCTTAATGCTCTGAATTCAGTGATTGTATTAGAACAGATGCCATAATAAAACGAAGAAGCCAAAACAATCCTCCCCCATTCATTACGCACAACTACCCCACCACCAGCATAACCTGGATTATCTTTTGAAGCACCATCGGTATTTAATTTCATCCAGCCTGCCTCTGGACATATCCATTTCACCCATACAGATTTCCAAACAACATTGCAAGACATTTTAATTTGCAGCCAATTCAGAAAAGCCTTACCACCAGAATCATCAAGAACTCTAGGCTTCAAGTTCCTAACTTGATACCTTAAAATACTGCATAACCTCACAAAGACTGAGTAAGAATTCAACATCCCTTCATCCGCAAGCCTCCTACATCTCTCCTTCCACAATTGCCAGTAAATGACCAAGGAAAGACTACGAATTAAACCATGGCTCAAAAATTTTTTGTTGAAAACCTTGCAGAGTCTTCTAAATCTCACCAATGAACCCTCCCCATGAACAATCTGGAAACCAGCAACAGACTCAAATCTGGCCCAAACAGCCCTTGCATAAGGACAATCCACAAATAAATGATCTTCTTTTTCTATTCCCTGATAACATAGACAGCATCTGCTTACAACATAAACACCAATTCTAGTAAAGTTAGAATCCAACAGCAAGGCTTTCTTTAAATTCTTCCATCCCACCAAATGGGCACTATGGGCAGTTTAAACACTCCATATGAGCGAATAAAGATCATTCCCCAAACCCTGTTCTCTAGCAAGACCCCAGGCAAATTTAACAGTGAAAACCCCAGATGAAGTGCCTACCAAATCCACTTATCTTCAGAATCAGAGAGACATAAACTAGAATTCACAATCACATCCCTCACCAACATAGGCAACTCTTCCTCCAATTTATCTAAAACCCAGTTTGAGTTAACAAAAAGATCAGAAATTTTAGGAAAATTTTGAGGCATATTGTCCATCCTATCAAGCAGCACCCCATGACCAACCCAATTATCACAAAAAAAGTCCGTCTTCTTTCCATTACCAACTAAAACCTTTGAACCAGCAACAACCTGTTCAAAGTAAGGTCTCAAAAGCTCAAAATTGGCAAAGTGAATTTTACCTTTACAACATAGCAGACTTCTTCCTCTAAAAAATTTAGAGCTAAAAACCTTAGCCCATAAAGAAGAACCCCTGATCAAATTCCAAACCTGCTTCATACGAAATGCAGATTGAATCTCACCGAATTTCCTTTAACCCAACCCCCCCTCATCCTTGGGTAAGGTAACTTTACTCCATGCAACCCAATGTCTCCTTTTTACATCCAATTTACTGGACCACACAAAACCAGACATTAGAGAATTTAATTTAGAAATAATAGTCTTAGGAAGGTTCATACAAGCAAGAAGATGCACAGGGACAACACATAAAACATAGTGCACCATCAGAACTCTCTCCATATTAGACAAAAGTCTAGTATACCACCCCTCCAGCCTGTGTCTAAATTGCCCAACAAGCCCCTCAAAACATCTCACTGTCATCCTCCCTTGAATCACAGGACATCCCAAGTATGTAAAGGGACATGCTTTCACAGGGATTCCAGCCAAATTCGACAATACCTGTCTCCTCTCCATTGAAATGAATTTTGAACAGAACATGGAGCTCTTTGGCAGACTAACCCTCTGCCCAGAGCTATCTTCATATCTCTTTAAGAAGCACATCAAATTTTTCAAGGATCTCTTATCACCCCTCAAAAAGATCAACGTGTCATCAGCAAATAAAAGGTGAGAAACTAAGATAGTCCCTCTGCCCAGATGAAAATTCTTCACCAACCCCTCGATAAAAACTCTAGTCAACCCCCGACTCAAAACTTCTTCCGCAAGAATAAAAAGGTAAGGAGATAAAGGATCTCCTTGCCTTAATCCTCTAGAAGAATGAAAGAAGCCCCTCCTCACACCATTTACAGCAACAGAGAAATATTGATTTTCTAAACAATATGATACAATCTGGACAAACAAAGGAGAAAAGCCAAAGCAATCCAATACCTTAAGTAAAAAGTCTCATTCAAGCCCGTCATAGGCTTTCATCATGTCTAATTTAAGCAAAATGTTACCAGCCTCAACTCTTCTGTTCAACTCTCCCACCATCAACTGTGCTAAAGGTACACACTCACCACTGTTTCTACCTTTAACAAAACCATGTTGTTCAATTGAAACCAGACCAGGCAGAATAACAGACAGCCTAGTAGTCCGCAGCTTGGTAAAAACCTTATATAAAAAATTGCAGAAGCTTATAGGACGAAAATCAGAGAAAGAAGAGGGATTAACCTTTTTAGGAATTAAAGTAATCAGAGTGGCATTAACTGATCTCGGAACATTTCCACCTCTCAAGAAGAAGTTAACTGCTTGCACTAAATCTTCCCCAATAACATCCCAAGCCCCTTGAAAAAAACCTCTAGAAAGCCCATCAGCACCAGGAGCACTGTACTTGGACATAGAGAAAATCACCTGCCTCACCTCTTCTCGAGAAGCAATCTTCAATAATTCAGAGTTTTGTGCATCAGTAACTAGCTTTGGAACAAAATCAAACAAACTCCTATCCAACCTATGAACCTCTGAAGTATAGAGAGAAGAATAGAATTCCTCAACAACCCATCCAATTTCTTCCTCAGATTCAACCCATATTCCAGAGGCATTTTGAATTCTACTCACTCTGTTCCTGTTATATTTACTTTTAGCAACAGCATGGTAGAACCTCATATTTCTCATCCCTTCAACTGCCCATCTAAAACCTTCATGTTCCAACCACATGTTCTGAAACTTAAAATATGAAATCCTCTTCTGCTGATCAGATACAACTTTAATTAACAACGGAGAATGATCTGATCTACCTCTAGCCAAATGCAATATTTCAGTACTACCCATCACCTCTCCCCGTACAGAATTCAAAAAAGCCTTGTCTATTCCCTGCCACATTCTAGCATTCCCTTGGCAATTATTACACCAAGTGAATCTACTCCCCCAAAACCCACCATCCATTAGGCCAGCATTCATTAAAAAATCATTGAAATCATTCATAAAAGTGACAGAAGGGAAAGCTACACCCAACCTTTCTTCAGAACACAAAACAGAGTTAAAGTCACCCGCCACCATCCATGGCATATCCGAAGAAACAGTCATTTGGGACAAATGCTCCCAAAGATTTCGTCTAACAACACCATCACAAGAAGCATAGACAAAGGATAACAAAACCACTCTAGAGCCCAAATAAGAAATCTCCACCGTAAGAGCCTGAGGATGTTCAAACAAGACTTTAACATCAACATCATCATTCCAAAGGATCCACATATATTTTTCAGCCATACTATTCACAACAAACCGAGACATATTCACACTAGAAGCTATCCTCTGAATTTTATCCCTCCCAACCTTCGGTTCCAAAATGGCAACCAAAGGAATACGATGAATATGTACAGCAACTTCTTCAACCGTCTTCTCTGAACAAGCTTGCTTACCCCTCTTGTATTCCAAACCAAAAAATTAGTCATATAAAGAAATATATAATAATCACTGCAGTGGAAAACCCAGAAAAGATGACACAGAATTTTCTGCACCACCCACTGAATCTTCAAACTGCCTACCATATTTCCCCTCCAAAACTTTCAGTTGCAAACCATAGAACATAAGGCAGGAATAAAAGCCATTATCAACTGAAGACCTTACTCTCCCCACACTAACAGAAAAGAAAACTAGAAAGGAAGCAACCACAAATACTGACTTAGAAAAATCCAAAATTTTCCCAGATACCAACAAAATATACTGAAGCCCAAAGAGATAAGAGTCCAGAAGATCCAAAAAAGAAAAATCGCAATTTTCACCACAAGCACAGTAAAGAATCGAAACACAGAGTAAGAATAGTCCCCAAAATCGGAAGAAACCTTTCATACTCACTCAAAGAAAACTTCAAAAGATAAGACTCACGAAATCTAGCTTTCAAAAAAACCAAAAAAGAATGATTCAAAAAGGCATATATAGGAGGAAAATATGAAGCGTACTGGACCCTTCGAACAACTGAAGCGAAAATCAAAGAATATAGACCCAAAGAGACATTCAGACAATGAAAGAATATAGACCCAAAGAGACATTCATCTGGCCTAAATCAGACAAAACGACAGTCCAAGCACGATTAGGAAAATGCAACACAAAACTTCTAAATTCTGTCCCGGAGAGCAAACTTAACTTATATATACCCATGTAAAATTTTTCTTGAGATTGGTGTCAAATCCCATGTTACACAACCTTTATTTTCACATTACAAAGGATTAGAACTTATTTTCTGATTCATTTCTTACTCGATTTAAACAAGTGAATATATTACGTTATTCTCCTCATAGAGTAGAATATGAACTCATGAAAGTTTACTAGAAACAGCAAACAGGTCCCACTTTAATTTAGGCTCAAAATCGACCAAAAATTCAGTTTTTACACTTAAAAAACTGTTTTACTCCAACAGCAATTTCTGTTAAAAATTCAGTTGAAATATCATAATTTTTTTCTATATATATTTGTTTCTTTCAATGAAATACTTAAAAAAGTCAGAAAATTGGTGTGGCAATAAAATATAAGCATTAATAATATCCATAATAGCTATGTGATGGCATTCATTTTTATAAGTAGATATATCTTAAGGATTGCCTTAAAATGTAAAAGAGTAAACATTCTTTNGAAAACCCAGAAAAGATGACACAGAATTTTCTGCACCACCCACTGAATCTTCAAACTGCCTACCATATTTCCCCTCCAAAACTTTCAGTTGCAAACCATAGAACATAAGGCAGGAATAAAAGCCATTATCAACTGAAGACCTTACTCTCCCCACACTAACAGAAAAGAAAACTAGAAAGGAAGCAACCACAAATACTGACTTAGAAAAATCCAAAATTTTCCCAGATACCAACAAAATATACTGAAGCCCAAAGAGATAAGAGTCCAGAAGATCCAAAAAAGAAAAATCGCAATTTTCACCACAAGCACAGTAAAGAATCGAAACACAGAGTAAGAATAGTCCCCAAAATCGGAAGAAACCTTTCATACTCACTCAAAGAAAACTTCAAAAGATAAGACTCACGAAATCTAGCTTTCAAAAAAACCAAAAAAGAATGATTCAAAAAGGCATATATAGGAGGAAAATATGAAGCGTACTGGACCCTTCGAACAACTGAAGCGAAAATCAAAGAATATAGACCCAAAGAGACATTCAGACAATGAAAGAATATAGACCCAAAGAGACATTCATCTGGCCTAAATCAGACAAAACGACAGTCCAAGCACGATTAGGAAAATGCAACACAAAACTTCTAAATTCTGTCCCGGAGAGCAAACTTAACTTATATATACCCATGTAAAATTTTTCTTGAGATTGGTGTCAAATCCCATGTTACACAACCTTTATTTTCACATTACAAAGGATTAGAACTTATTTTCTGATTCATTTCTTACTCGATTTAAACAAGTGAATATATTACGTTATTCTCCTCATAGAGTAGAATATGAACTCATGAAAGTTTACTAGAAACAGCAAACAGGTCCCACTTTAATTTAGGCTCAAAATCGACCAAAAATTCAGTTTTTACACTTAAAAAACTGTTTTACTCCAACAGCAATTTCTGTTAAAAATTCAGTTGAAATATCATAATTTTTTTCTATATATATTTGTTTCTTTCAATGAAATACTTAAAAAAGTCAGAAAATTGGTGTGGCAATAAAATATAAGCATTAATAATATCCATAATAGCTATGTGATGGCATTCATTTTTATAAGTAGATATATCTTAAGGATTGCCTTAAAATGTAAAAGAGTAAACATTCTTTCCAATGGGTACTGTGGGATTATCAACTATGGTTTGGTGCTAATGGGTTATTGTGCTGTACAATCATAAACTGTGGGATGTATTTGGAGGATTATGGTCTATGGGATGGTTATTTTATATTCTTTTTCAGCATTTATATTGTTTTTTATAAAAGTCATGGAAATGGTATAAACATATTACTTATAACACCAATAGGCGTGGTTACCAAACGAGTTTGCTTTTCCATTTTCATCTTTCACACACAGAAAACAGAAACCAAACAAGTTTTTATCTGGACTTTTCACCCAAAAAAAAAAAGAAGCCAAAACAGTTTTTGTTTTCATTTTTCTTTTGAAATTGAAAACTGAGAACGTTACCAAATGCTACATTAGCTAATTAATTCTACTTAGAAACTGGAGGTCACAATTTGGTGTCAGTTAAGAATGAGCAATTGTGAACAAGCAATTGTGAAATATAATTGATTTTCTTGTTAATTATATGAAGGCTGCCAAGGGAAAGCACAAGGCTATGGAGGAATCTCCCTCTGATATGCTACTACAGGCGAGAGATAGCAGTCCAAAAACTCCGCTGGAGCTTCCAAATATGGGCACTTCAAAGCCATTACCTTTTGAGTTTAGAGCTCTTGAAATATGTCTAGATTCTGTCTGCAAGAACCTCGAATCCGAGGTATGACACTGGCATGCAATTGATTGGTCTGTTCAAACAAGTGTTTTTTTCCCTGTAGTCTGCCCATAACTGGGTGCACTCACTGCATATTGTATATTTGAAGTATGTAACTTACCAATAACCTAAAGTTAATCTACCTTTAAACTTGATGGACCTAAAAGTACTTGTGCCTTTAAACTCGATGGCCGTTTGTTATACTTGGTGTGAACCACTACGATTCTTTTCTTGATTTGAGTCATAACGACAATGCTTTTTATATTTCAGATATCATTTGGCGATGTCGCCCACCTCAATAATAAAACAAAAATATCTAAGTCAAAACCTTATCAAAGTTGATAGCTTACTAGCAGATAAAACTGATTACAGTTAAACAAAGATCCTAATACACAAATTATTATATCCTCAAGTGTATACATATCAAAAAGATTAATGATATATAAATCCCTGTCAGATGACTTCTTGTTCTTAAGATAATCCTTTGCATTTATGATATTTTCTGAAATTAATAATTTAACTAATTTAGGAGTTTCATTAAAAATATTATATTTATCAACTCCATTCTTCTGATATTGTCAAACTCAGAAATAGCTTGATGATAGAATACGTTTTTAGGCCTTTTTAATTCATTTTGTCCATTTTTTTGGACCAAAACAGCAAGCTAATATACTCTTGATATGAAAATTGCACCATTTTCTTATTTACATTAAACATACTTGTATTCTGTATCTTCATAAATTTAGTTTCACTTTGAGATGGAACATTGAGGATATAGGGCTACACTATTACTAGATTTTTTTCCTACCTATTTACGGTTGCAAACCATAATAAGTGTTCATCATTCAAATTTGTTGCAAGCTATCTTTAATAAGCATGGATGGGTATGACTTTTTTAGTACATTTGCTTTCTCTAGACATCATTCAAGTTGTAGTACCATTTTTTGGCAGATAAGGGTCTATTAAAATTTTCAAGTCTAGATATTAATTTTATCGTTTTCAAATTTATATGTTCTATCACTCACAGGTCTTGTTTCCCTCTACTATGACTAAAGCGCTCCATTTCTGCGGGTCTAAAGGCTTAAGCTTGGAAGAGCTTTGATACTATGTTAACAGTCAGTGGGTTTGAAAGTTTAAACTGAATGGATAGCAGTGTGACATTGTTTGTGGGAACCAAACAATAGGAATCATATGTCAAATGCCTAGCTATTGATATCAATCTTTGTGTTGGTTGTTAATGTTACCTTATCCACTGTGAAAGTATAGCTTGATCATCAATTATTTGTTTTTATGTTCATTAGAATAAGAGCCATGCCATGGTTGTAAGTTTTAACCAAAATGCCTACTTGACTGCTTTAATTTGGACATTGCTCCTTTATTGCCAATTCTGATTAATGTCCTAGGGTTTCATAAATGGTTTGCCCCCTTGATATTAGTTTCATTATGGTTCTGGTTTAAGTCTAACTGGTTGTGTAATTTTGAATGGCCACGTCTTTGCTGATTCACCAAGACTTCCACGCTGGAGAAAGAGGCATATCCAGCTTTAGATCAATTATCAGCTAAAACCAGTTCGCGTAGCCTCCAACATGTGAGGCTTATAAAAGGCCGTTTGGTTGCTCTGTCTGGCCGTGTTCAGAAGGTAACAGCATTACAGCAATTCTCATTATTGTTCAATAACGATAATCCCCTGTACCCGGATTAGTAGATAACCATAGGATTGATTTGATTCTTAGAGGGACAAATATATCTCATTTATGGATCTTTAGTTATTTTCTAATAAGAACAGATACTACAATGTTTAATTGTTTGGAGAGAGGGTAAAGTCACCCTTTTCACTGTTGTCGTTGGATTCCTTACATGCAAATAGTGTTTGGATCAGTTAATATCTGCTTATAGACTTGCACAACAAGCTTTAACTGGCCAAAATGTAGTCTGATCTGCATTATTGATCATGTAATCTAATTGAAAAAAAAAAAAAAAAGGAAGAAAGATTCTGAGAACGTATCATACTAGTTTGAATCCATAAAATCTAAGATACCCTGCCCAGGTGCTTACAATTTGCTTACGTCTACCCAGTATTCAAGATTGTTACAAATGAGTCTTACAGCTACTGCTTCAGATTATACGACTGAAATCTGAGACAACCTTGGGATATTGATGGAGCACATTGTCTGGCAAATATATGAAATTTAAATAAAATCAATTTATGGAACAATTGTATGTTTCAAAATGAAAAACCTGTTATAATTACCTTGGAATATATTCTGCCCCTGCTTCCCTCAAAATTTCTATTTGTTCAAAATACAATCACGTTTTACTAATTTTATAAAAAATAAAAACCTTCTGCAAGAATCTTCAACTAGGGAATAGCTTCATCTTGGGATTACAAATTTATAATTACGGCCAACATCTGAAGCTGTTAACTCCCCTCTTATTTGGATTGGTTATCAAAAAATTTATCATATAATGCTAGCATGTTTTTCAGGTGAGAGATGAGCTTGAACATTTACTGGATGATGATGCGGACATGTCTGAGATGTACTTGACCAAAAAACTTGCTCGTCTAGAATCTGATAGGTTCTTACTAAATGTTGAGCAGAAGGATGCCAATGAATCTGAATTACATGATATGAGGTGAATGGAAACACTTTGGTATCATTGCTTTCATTGGCTTCATCTAAAAGTTCGTTTACAAGTTTATGTTCCATTAGTCATTATATATATACCACAACCATAACTGCCGCAACATTGCCATGCAGAATGCCATTGTCTATGCAAGATTGCAAAGCTTTATATCATCAGTTAGAACCATTAGCTGTGAAGCAAATGACAAGTTGACTGTGCTTTAGCTTTTGTCAGGATTGTTGCAATCTGAGATACATGGCAAATCACATTTGATCATAAATGAAGGATTCAGTCATTATATTCGATTAGTTTACTCTGGAATCCATCCAATAGATATGGGAGTTTAAGATACAAAGTTAATTTCATAGTTTAAGGATCCTAGCATAGTGCAATGGTAAGAGTGTTGAGCTGACAACAACCAAGTTGTTGTGGGTTCGAGTAGTAGAGTAGTCATTTTGGTCAAATAATGCAAATTCTTAGGTCCAGGAACTGATCCGAGAAGTAGGTGTAGGCATACCAATCCTTTGGACAAGTCTTTTTTTTTTTTTTTTTTTTGGGGGGGGGTTGGGTAGTACAAAAAAGTTTGGGGGCCATCTCTGTATAGTTTTATATTTATCACTCAGCAAATAATACATAGCTCTGAAAATTTTCAAACTTTAGGGCCATCAGGGGGGCATAGGTCCATCACTTCTCATATGTCTACCCAGTGCACCCTCAATTAACAGGACCAAACTGGATGTGTTAGTTTTGTGATCCTTAAAAAGGATCAATTGTGACATTAATGACTCAAGGCATCTTGAAATAAAGTGGAGCTGGAAAGTCATGAATGACTTGGATTAACTAGTATGGATCTGGATGTGGTTTCTTTGTTAGAAATTCTGAGAGAAGATGTGAAATTGTTTAATCCAGTTTCTCGATTTGACATATAACAAACTTATGCCTACTCTTGGCCAGAAAAATAGGAATAATATAGTAACAGCCTAATACAGAAAACAACACTTCTTTGTTTCGAGTCTAAAGGTGAGGTGGTGTAGATATGCATGGTTCTAAAGTAATCGCATCACAATCATTATTGAATCTGTTTTAAGTTTTCAATACCATCAACCATACTTACAGATCAAATTAAAATCCATTTGATTTCAAAGTTGATGAATTTTATTAACACTTCTTGGTTTTCATTTTCAGTGATGCGAATGATGGAAGCAGCATCGCACCTATTAGAGGTCATAAGCCAAATATTGAAGAGTTGGAATTACTATTGGGAGCATACTTCATGCAAATGGAGGAAATCTTAAACAAACTACTCCGTGTAAGTCGTACTTTGACTTGCTATAAATTTTGACTCGATCCTAAGCTACTTTTACCCTGTCAGTAAGTTTTCTCAATAGAATTGCATGTTTTTAAAAGGTTACTCGGTGCTTGAGGCTTGGCATAAGGTAGGGCTCAATGAGATAAAATATGATAGATCTTAATTAGTTCCAGTGTAAGTTTCTCCACGTATAACAAATATGGAAGATCGTATCATAAATTCAAGGCTTTTTTTTTCCCTTGTCACTTTTGTTAGTTGATATCAACTCTTTTGCCGTCTCCTTAACATGTAGAAAACATACCAGTGTAACTTGTTCTTTCAACAATTCTACGACAAACTTTCTTATGGAAGCCACTTGGCCAAGTATGGAAAACTAGTTCGTTTGTTTTTGGCACTTTGCCATAGTGGCTGGGTTCATCATGCTTTAAAGGGAAAGTTAGCTTGGTCTATGAATTCTAATAGATTCTAATTTGTCGTCTTTCATTTTCCCAGAAATATATAAGGTAGAAACCATGCTTATACTCGAACAAAGAACTTCATTTCTATATTCAAGTTGAGATTAAAATGAGTTCTTTATTTCAGACTTCTTATTCTATGTATAATACATTGGCTATTTATGTTTATGTTATTTCCGAAGTCTAAGAAGTTTCTAGTACTCACTGTTGGACCAAAACAGTTTTTTTAAGTGTAAAAACTGAGTTTTTGGTCGAATTTGAGCCTAAATTAAAGTGGGACCCGATTGTTATTTCGATTAAAAATTCGTGGGTTCATATTCTACTCTGTGTGGAGAATAATGTAGTATATTAACTTGCCCAAATCGAGTAAGAAATGAATGAGAAAATAGGCTCCAAAGTGACCCTCTTGAAATGTGAAAATAAAGGAAGTGCAATGTGGGATGCGACATCAATCCCACATTGGTTGAGGAAGAAATTCAACATGGGCATATATAGGTCAACTTTGCTCTATAGAATTGAGCCCCAAGGGGTACCACAGTTTTATGAGCGGAGCGAACACCTATATATCTTCGGTTCAACCACACGCGCTCCACCTGCCTCGTCATGACCCGGTCGGGCTTGGGTGTGGATGTACCCTATCTTTTTGGGAGAAAATTCTTTTAAATAATGGGCGTGAATTTCTTAACCTGAAATTTAATTCCGGTACCTGTTGGATCGCACTTGGTCGGGTGTGTTGCATCCCTCCAGACAGTTACTCAAGGTGAAGAATGTGTCCTTTACTAAAGTGACTGTCCAGAAAGTCACTAATGTGTCTATAAATACCCAGACTCATTTTCATTAATATTGACATTCAATCAATTCATTTTCAATCATAAGACAGACATTAAAACATATCATTTTCGGCATTAAAGTAGTGCATTTAGAGAATATACAATACGATTTTTTGGTTCGTTGGATGGGCAGATTAGAGTGTTACTTCTGTTTATATAAGATCATTGTATCCTGGGAGGCAGACGCTCGATTTCCATAAGCACCGTGTGTGAGGGCGAAATCTGTCTTAAGGACATAGTGTCAAACACTAGCCTTGATCTATCTAAAGTTCAATGACAGTTCCTGTTCTGCAATCGGATTAGTATTTATTTTTGTTTGACAAACAGTTACGTGTAACTATTTGTTGTTACTATTTCGTTACCTTGCTGTAACTCTTTCGTTTCTGTGTAACTCTTTACTGTAACTGTTTGTTATATAGTTCAAATCAGAAAGTTCAATAAGTGATTTTACAATTTTTGCCACACTAAAAGCAACATTCTTAAGACAGATTTTCGAATTTATATACTTGCTTATTGTGTTTTTGATACATGTTTTAATGATTGGACTGTTCTAAAACATTACAAATTGTTAAAATCTATTTTGTTTACAATATGTGATATTTTGAAAAGACTTGAAAATTTGTGAGAAATTGCATATGCTATTTTTTATGTTTAAATTCAAACAGTTACACCAAAATGTGACTCTGGTTTAAACAGTTATACCAAACAGTGACACTGTCTCTCTTTTAATAATTTGCTTTGGAAAGTGTTACTGTTTTTCTATTTTTGAATAGTTTGTAATCTTTGTTTATCAGAAATGGCTGTAAATGATAATATTGTTTCTACTACAAACAACACTCGCAACTTCGCCGGATCACAAAGCAAGTTATAAATATTCCTGTTAAAAAACTTAATCCTATCTTCATTCCTATTTCTAAGACATTTTTCTTGTATTGAACAGTAGATTGCTATCTCTTGCAAATTTACAAGATCCACATACAGTTTCAACTTCAAACCTTTGAATGCCCAGCTAAATTCTTCCCTATCTTCAATAAGAACTAATGACACGAATGTTTCTTACCTCGATCTGTCATTCACGAATGAATGATCATTCTGATATCATTTTTTTTCCGTCTCTGGTCCCTAGCTGCGGGAATATGTCCATGATACAGACGATTACATCAACATCATATTGGATGAAAAGCAGAATGAGCTACTCCAATTGAGTGTTATTATTAACACAGTGACGATGATGCTCAATATAGGCATTTTGATTTTTGGAATATTTGGCATGAATATAGTCATCGATCTCTTCAACATTAAAACCTATGCACAGTGGTATGCAGCTTCTGCTGGTGTTGTTGGAGGCATCTCAATCCTATTTATTATAACCATCTTATGGCTGAAGACAAAGGGATTGCTAGGTTGATGAAACTCTGCCCCAGTGGATGTTGATCCAAAGTATGTAGTATCTGCATTGAAGTATTGTGCTCAAGTAAATTCTCTAACCTTACCTGCTGCAAATAAAAGAAGAATGTATGTTTGGAATTCTTTCCTATTCTATATAAGATCGTTTTCAATTAAAAACCGAGATAATGGTAAAGGCAACCAACCCCGAGAATGTGACTTCCGCTACTGGAGGTCTGGATTTGACGTATACGATTTCCTCCTATAAGCAAAAAGACTATTTATGTGATTCAAACCTGCAACGTCGATGACATAATGTAGCAACATTATCACCATCTTTGAGACAATGGTAATGTACACACACTAAATACATTAGGCAGTACTTAGAAGGATTTTTCATTCTATCAGGTGAATGTGTGTGTGTCAAGTAAGAGCTTACCAATTTATCTTTTTAGCTGGACACTGGTAGTATCAAGACGAGCTTTCCTTCGAACTTGATGTTTTCCAAAGATTCACAAGTAGGGTAAGAATTACAAATTAGAAGTTGGAACTATCCTTATGTTATTGATTTGTACAAGTTAGCACTACAAAGATTCACAAGTGAAGGGCAATATTTGGAAACTTCCGATTTTCAACACCATGTTAATGCCCAAAACTGTCATCGTACTTACTTCGTCATTGTAAGAGCATCTCATTCAAAATCAATTGATAATGAGTGGAAAGGTTTTTTAAGTATATAAATCGATATTGGGTAGTTCTAATCATTCGATATGAAATAAAAGTACTCTTTACATCCTCTATCAAGTGGGATCCCAGCTCGCACATGAGGCTAACAAATAAATAATCAAAAACTTGTACTAGAAAATGTAAATGGGTAAAAGACTTGACCTAATAACCACTCAAGGCTTAACTCTGATAATTGATGACAAGAGAGAATGAAAAGAAAATGAGATAAAGTATTATTGCGGTTTCAAAGTTAGTGAGCATAGTGATTAAAGATATAGAATAGAAACCCTTTCTAGCAGGGCAAAACATTACTAGAAAATAATTAAACTACCTCAAATACTAAGATATTCTAACACCACCAACCCCCCGGGTCCAAACTGAAAATAATATTAAGAGTTTGCCACGAAGAAAACAAATCGCATAATGATACGAGACTTTGTAAAAAAATCCGTCAATTGTATAGTAGAAGTCTTTCAATCATATAAACCAACCTTGAGTGATCCTAGTCATTCGATGTAGAAGGTTTCGACAAGAGTTTAGGGAACTGGACTAAGGTTTTTTATCATGTAAACCACCAACCAAAGTCTAAATGATGTCCACTAATTACAAAAGCTAGTTGCACAGACTACACGAGATGCCATGTAAACCACCAACCAAAGCCTAAATGATGTCCAGTAATTACAAAAGCTAGTTGCACAGACTACACGCGATGAAGCTTGGCACTGGATGAAGCTTGTGAGGACGGGGTAAACCTCTTTCTCTCTCGCTTCCTCTAAATTCTGTTTTTCTTCTGCTTCTCAATCTATAACATCTGGTCAAGAGAGTATATGATTTTAAAACTTATTGATTGGTGTTGTTAAGTCTGACCATCAATAGTGATGTACAGATCCAATCCGAAACAATGTATTTTGCTAATTGAAGTATCAGACGCTGATCGCAGCCTCATTACTTGCAGGACTCCTTTCATGAGTTTCCCATGAAGTGCCTTACCACAACAAAAGATAAATGATTCACTCGCCATGGGTGTCCTATACAGACTAAGCATCTTCACCTTCCCTTATCAAACCTATACCAAATCTCATTTGTATCCTTCCACCATGTTAGTTGTGACGTCAACTGCAGCTCACCTCTGGATTTGACTTCACAATTCTGCTCTGTCTATTGCATACTTAACAATGACCACCATAAGTCTCCAGAGACCATACGGACAAGACCCATTTCTATAACGATGGAGCAATGCATCTCTCCAGTAGCACCCTTTTGTAAATAATTACACCTGGTGTGTGTGTGTGTGTAAACTTTCCATAAAAGTTTCTCTGGTCACACAACCCAGTGGACCATTCAAGGGCTTACCCAAAATAATTGCCAGCTTACCACTGCAAGTTGCTTGCACAATATGAATTTCTTCCCCTGCAGATGAGACTGCCTCATGCTATAAGCAAACGATGATCTCATCCAGATTGCTATCCTCATGCCTACACTTCAAGGAGATCCAAAATTGGATCTCCACCTGAGTTCAACAATACTTGACATATATGTGAAGGTGCATATGAAACTCTAGGTTCATTTTTCTATCACCAGTAGTCTCCACAAGAACAGGACCCATAAAATTGTGGAACCGATTTATATCCCTCACAACGATCTCTCGCTCATAGATTTTTTAAATGAACTTGGTGGTTGTGTGACAGTCTCCACAGATTTGAAGGTTTTTTGTCACTCAAAGAACTGTTCCGTGACTGGTATTAAGAAGCCCAAAGGCAATGGCCAACTTCTCACTGTGGGTTGTCAGGTAATGTTCTTTCTCCTCTTCACTGACATCATGCAACACAGCATTAGTATCTGGTACGTAACCAGCTGACTTAATCTTCTCAGGCAGTGCCTCCAATAACATGTAGATTTCCTTAGCCTGTGGATGAGACAAATCTCCTCCAAGAAATAAATGAGCTTTCCCATTGATCTCAATCCAACTGCATCCAGGACTCTTCTTCACACACTGCAATTTTAATAGAGTTCTCAAATTGTTCACTTCCTCCCACATCCCAACATCAGCATACATATTTGAGAGCAGAACATAATTCCCACTGTTGTCTGATTCTAAGACAAACAACTTTCTAGCTGCTATTTCTTCAATCTCCAAGCTCTGGTGACTTCGACTGGCAGCCAATACCGAGCAACATATGCTTGGCCCCGCTTGCATTGGCATTTGAGAGATAAGGTCATATGCTTCCACTAATCTCCCAGCACGACCAAGAAGGTCTACAACACAAGCATAATTTTCGTGTTTTTGTTCCACAAAATACACTCTACTCATGCAAAGTATTTCAAGCCAACATCGACAAGACCAGAATGGCTGCATCCTGACAACAAACCTGTGAATGTGATTGCATCGGGTAGAATCCCAGCTCTTATCATATCCTCGAATGTTGACACAGCTTCTGTTCCATGGCCATGAGAAGCATATGCAGAAATCACGGTGTTCCAAGTAACCAAACTCTTTCCATGTTGACGGATCCTATCAAAACAACTTTGGGCATCAACAAAGCTCCCACATCTAGCATACATTGCAGCAAGTGCTGTTTCCACCGAAGAATGGAAACCCAAACCGATCTCACTAGCATAATTATGAATTTGTCTACCACACTCAAGAGCAGCAGAGTGTGCACAAGCAGGTAAAACAATCATGATTGTAACCCAATTAGGTTTCACCTCCGAATCCTCCTGTAACATCTCATCAAACAAACCCAACGCCCTGTCCGCCAACCCATTCTGAGTGTACCCGGATATCATAGCAGTCCAAGACACAATGACATTTTCCCAAATAAATCCTCCGCAACAGAAATCTTGCTATCTTTCATGTGCCCAGCAATCAACGCATTCCAAGATGAAACATCTCTCACAGGCATTTCATTAAACAACTTATGGGCATCACTCAATTCACCACATTTCACATACATATCAATCAAAGAAGTCCCTACGTACATATCAAACTCCAACCCAGTTCTCAAACTCAACCCATGAACGCATTTTCCCAATCCAACATACGCTAGGTCAGCACAGGACTTGAGCACAAAAGGGTATATAAAGCAATCACCCTTAAGACCCAACAAATGCATTCCAAGGTAGGTTCTTGAAGTTCTCTCGCAAAACCCATACCAGGTATATGCTCGAATAATTGAATTGTACAAAAGAGAAGATGGACTTGTAATACTATCAAAGAGGACTATAGCGGAGTTTACATCGCCTGCGCTAGCGTACATTGCTACCATCTTTGAAGCAACGAAGGCGTTGGGTTGGAGACCTCGGAGGACCATGTGGGAGTGGACTTGTTGGCCTAGTTTGATGAAGTTTTGGCCAGTCAAGAACTGGAAAATCGACGGGTATGATGAAATGTGAGGTGGGTTTTCTGTCAATGGATGCAAAAGAGTTTGAAGCATTCCTTTTTGAGAAGTAAGGGTTCCATTTCACAAATCTTTCCATTAACAGAGAGAAGTATAGGGGGGTAGACGGAAAACGAAGCACATGTAAGTTTTAAATCTATATCTATAATAGGGCGGCTTTAACGACAAGTCTATCCTAGATCTCAAATTCATTCTTCCGATCATGAAACTTCTGCTGGTACTGTTGGTGGTTGCTCAACGATATTTCTTTTAGCCAAGGGATTGTTTGGTTGATGAAATTTTGCTCTTGTGAATGTCAGAACAGAAGTAAATAGTATCTGTTATGAACATGATGCTCGGAAATATATCGATGTAATATTAAGAATGTGTATTTCGAATTCTTTGCTACATGAAACAAACATATAAACTGGGTAAATAGAAATGAAAAAATGTTTCAAATACATTACAATTATAAGCTTTTTTCTACATCATTGCACCTGGGGGGTGGTAAACAAGGTGAAGAAATGAGTTCGAACTCGAACCCGACGAGTTTGTTTTTAAAAAAGAGTTTAAAAATGTGTTTAAATTTGGCTCGTTTTCTAAATAAACGAGTTTAAGTTAAGTCCAAAACAAGCCGAGCTATAGTTCGACTATTTTATAAATAAACAAGTTAAATTTTATGAACTCGAACCTAAAATGAGTCGAGTTTAAACGAGTCTAAAAAATTATTTGAACTTGACTGTTCTTTCAAATTAGTCCTCCAAATGAGACCTAATTATTTTTAAAAAAGGGGATCATCCAACTTGAATTCTTTGGACTCTTGATTGTAATGTGTATTTCAGATGCTTTTAATTATCCGCAAACCATGAAAAATATTTATAACTATTATAAATGAGTCAAGATCGGATCCATAACTTTGAACTTTAAGTTACTTGAGCTCAACTTGAAATATTAGAAGAGCTCAAAAATTTAATCATGTTTGACAATTTTTGTAATTCGAACAGATTTCAACAATCTAAAATTTAGTCCATCCCTAATAGTGGGATACAGGATTTGTAAATGATTCAATCTCTTAGATTCGGAGATTTACAAATCTTGTATTTTTAAATACTTAGTATATTGATTATAGTGTTAATTGTAGATAAAGTCCTTAAAGTATATTGAGTTTCTACTATTTTGATACCCAAAATTTCAATTGCATTATTTTAGTCCCTCAAATAATAAATATGTTTTTATGTTGTCTCTCAAGCAAACAACACTTAAATTACTAACGATTTTTAATCATAAATGTCACGTGACATTTTAAATATAGGTAAAAAAATAATTTGGATAATTCTTGAACAAATTCTACACAAATTTTAGTCAAATAGCTATTCAAATAACGCTTTTTTTGTCAAGAGCTGGCCAACACATTTTTTTGTTAATATTTAGGTATCACGTAACAAGTTTATGATAAAAAATCATTAACAATTTAGATATTGTCTGTTTGAGGAACCACGTAAAAACGTATTTAATATTTCATGGATTAAAATGATATAATTGAAATATTATATATCAAAATGAGACAAATTTCATACTTTATAGACATCTAATGCAATTAACCCTTCAATGATCAAAATGATGCAATTGAAATATTAGATATTAAAATGAGACAAACTTTATACTTTGTGAATCTTTAGTGCAATTAGCACTTGATTATATATACACACAATGTCACCGCCACACATTGGCCAGACTTTTTCAGCACATTAATCTGCTCAACAATACTATACTAAATAATATTTTTTATTAAATTTTTCATCTTAAGTGACGTGACACAGTTTTTATCATCACAATACTTAATAATGGATATTATATCACATCACTTGGAATAAAAAACTTAGTAAGCATAACATTACTAAAACATCGATTATCTTTCAATCTTGTGCAAAATCGAGAAGGTTGGTTTTTTTAACTTCCCTAATAGGGAAAAAATATTGCATGTAATTTTTACACTATATTAACAGTGTCATATGGTATAATAATTGACTAATAAGTAGACAAATTAGCAAATTAGCCCTTCTTGCACAAGAAAATATTCATTATAACAATGATACCACGTGACAGTGTGATATAGTATCACCAACTAATAATAAAATTTCAAATAAGTAAATGGACCCTATAAAAATTAATAACTAACCTGTCACGTAATCAAATAACTCTCTACTCTTTTTTCATGTAAGCGCAAGTGAGATTCACGTTACCTACTTAGAGTTTTATTATCGGTTGGTGATACCATGTCAGCGATCATCGTTGCATTTACTATATACTCCTCCTACATCAAGTATATCATATATATATATAGGAGAATATGTACTCTTTTTGTTCTTGTTATACCTCGTTGACCTTATTTTATATTTTTTGTTCTTTTCTTATTCGATGATTACACAATATCACCCACATCCAATATTTACTATATACTCTTTCTGCACCAGACATATCATACATATAGGAGAATGCATACTCTTGTTGTACTTTTTTTATTTTTATTATACACCGTTGACTTTATTTAATTCTTTTTGTTGTTTTCTTATTTGATGATTATGCAATGTCACCCACGTCCAATATATATTATATACTTCTCCTACACCAGGCACATCATATCATAGATATCGGAGAATATGTACTTTTTTTTGTACTATTTTTGTTCTTATTATACCCCGTTGACCGTATTTTACTATTTTTAATCTTTTTTTATTTGATGATTATGCAATGTCACTCACGTCCAATATCTACTTGCAAGTAGGACCTTCCCCACCTAGAACTTTTCCCACGCCCATTTGAGTTTTAAAAAACCGTTGATTATACATTTTTCTGAGGGAGGGAAGGAGAATAACAGTCTAACTGGAACAGGTGAACTTGGTTTCAGTCTCTCTCTCTCTCTCATGTCATATTCTAAACAAATGAAGGACCAAATCTGTCTTAATTTAATCTCCAAAACCCTAAACTTCAACCCCATTTTTCAACTATCACCACCACTCCAAATCATCACTTGCAAACATGCAAGATCCACTCCCAAATTATAAAAGGGTTAATTGTAAGTTGTACTCCGAAAGATAATTCGAGCATCAATTTAGACCGCAAAAGATCAAAAATTTTAATTTACAACATTAAAGATATAAATTTTTATCAATGTGCACCCCCAAAGATAAAAAATCTCAATTTACACCATCAAAAATAGAATTTGTATCAATGTGTACCCCCAAAGATAAAAAATCTCAATTTGTACCCTCAAAAATATAAACTTGTATAAAGGTGCACCTAAAACTAAATTTGATAAATAATACCTAAATCTCCTCATGTTTGTCATTTAATCATTTGGACCCCTTCACATTTAAAATATTACTCCTACATCTCATGATGTTTATGCACGTGTAACACATAACCTTTTTTTGTTGAAATCGGTTAATATAACTGTTAAAAAATATGATTATATCCTAATAAAAAATTATAATTTCATATTACCATTTATTTTGTGGGTCCGATATAATCTAAAGTTTAAAATCAAGCTTATCATTTGAATGTTCATTTAGTTATAATTTATCAATTTAGTTTTAGGTGCACATTGATACAAATTTCTATTTTTAAGAGTGCAAATTAAAATTTTTTATCTTTAAGGGTGCACATTTCTATCTTTGAGGGTACAAATTGAGATTTTTGATCTTTAGGGGTGCACATTGATACAAATTTTTATTCTTGAGGGTACAAATTGAGATTTTTAATCTTTGATGGAATAAATTGAGATTCGAACAATCTTTAAGGGTATAATTTATAATTAATCCATTATAAAATTATTCTATAATAACCTGTCAGAGTTGTCTCTACATTAAGCATGTTCACCATATTTTTCTTGGTATGGTAGGGACAACAAAAGCGGCACGGCGATTATGAACACTCAAAAGCCCAAGATTCGAGCTTTGGAGATGTTACTAGAAGCATATTTTGTCCAAATGGACTGAGGACTAAGCAGATTGTCAAATGTAAGTTGCATTATTTCTATTTTTTTGGCAACAAGTTTTCTAAGTAAAAAGAGAATTACATAAAAAAAAGTAAAAATATGTTTGATGATTATTTTGGGTTAATAGTATTTTTAATCACTAAAATATACGTGTAAAATATGTTTGAAAATTATTTTTGGTTAATAGTACTTTTGATACCTAAAATATATGTATTTTATCAGTTTGGTTCTTAATGTATGAATTTTATCAATTTAGTCTTTAAAGTATTTATTTTGTATTTAAATGGTCCATAACCAAACGGACATGTAAGTTTTTTAACAGAAGTGACCATGTGTCATTTTTTTACGTAATTACACATGATCACTCTTGTCAAAAACTGAACAAATTATCTGTGTATGGACTATTTAAACACAAAATGAATATTTTATGGACAAAATCAATTCAATGAGAACCAAACTGACAAAATACGCATATTTTAGAAACCAAAAGTACTATTAACCCGATTATTTTATAAAAGTTAATCTATATATATGCATATTAGTATAAATATATACTTATATATGTTCATTTTTGGTGGTTTTGTGGTTGAGTCTGATTTTTGGTAATCCAGAGATCTCAGGTTCAATTCATTTTCATACCCTCTAAGGGCTAACCACTCTTATCCTTTTAAAGACATGCTCTAACTCAACTTAAACCACGGTGACTGGTCATTAAACTCGAAAGAATAGTTGACATAAGGTTAGACACCCTAAAACAAAAAATACATACGACTAAGCTCTGGAAAAAAAGTGAGTACCTCAGGCAAGGGAAAAAAAAAAAAAACTTTTCTAGTCTTATCACTACTTTTTTATGCTTGAGTGACATTCTTTGAACCTAATTTGTTAATCTAAGTTGCCGACTTACTCACTATTGTTATTGGATTGTTGGTGAGCCACGATAATGGTTGGGGCTTGCTACCAATTGAAGGGTGAGAATAGATTTATTAGTAAATTAAGTCAACAAATTAAGTATAAATAATATTACTGTTTAGGGTTTCATAAACTCATTTGTCACTTTTTAAAACTATCATGCCTTCTTGCATATATATATATATATATATATATATATATGTTTGTTCTAATGCTTCTATCTCTCTTGTGACAAAGATGAGGGAATATGTTGATGATACAGAGAACTACATCAACATCATTTTGGATGACAAACAGAACCAGTTGCTACACATTGGGGTTATTTTAGGTACTACACTCCTTGTGATGCATTTGAGCATGGCCACCATTGATTCTCTCAACATGAAACTCCACATCTCCGTCTACGATGGCGTCCAACGGCTGTTCAATGAAGCTACTGCGGGTATCGTGGGTGGTTGTTTGTGCATGCTTTTTCTGGCCCTCCTACTTTTGAAGACAAAAGGATTGCTAGGATGAAGGATCTGCACGTACGCTCTCGGGAATCAACCTTTATAAAGATTATAACCTATTGTACGAGACTCCAATAGTCCTATTAGTCTAAAGAAGTGACCCAATTTCTATCATGACTTGTTATCACTAATGTCGGGAAAAAAAAACATTGATACAATAGTTATGAACTCTTTAGTCATAAAGCTGAAAGAACACAGTTATACATGTATAAAACATGTGCATGCAGTGACATTTCCAACAAATTGAGTACTGTCCAACACCATTATGTTGAGGAGTTTCTTCCTATACACTGTAGTGATAAACAATACCTTAATTCTCACAGAACTCTTTCAAATACCCTTAAACAGTATTTGGAACTATTACCGGTCTTGAACTGCTTAATTTTGTTTATCCGTTAATCGTGATGTCTATTAAACCGCTATGTACTCTAGAAAAAATATAACTTAGGTATTCATAAATTTCAACGATGTCTGTTGCTTGAACTGCTCAAAAACACTTGTGCTAGCTTGACAGAAAGGGATGGATTGCCAAGATGAAGCCAATCTCTGGCAACTGTCTGATGAATGTTCAAGTTTTATCGCATTCATGACGGCCATAAATTGAGTCAAGTCTCTGAGTACTGAGATATCACACATGGAAGTCTTACATGGAAGGGGAAAAGAAAAATATTATGTAAAAATCTCTANTTTCAACCCCTTTTTTCGATACCCACCACTTCAACTCCATATCATCACCTGCAAATTTGCAGGATCCGATGGAACAAAATCGGCGCGTACCCTTTCCACCTCAAACAAGGCGTGCGGACTCCGGCGCCGGATCAAAGGCTTGGCTCGTTGTCTCAGAGCACGGAAGCTCGAATGTCGATCTCGGAAAAAATCAGATTATGCGCCTGACTGGAGTCTCGGCCCACGACTTGAGGGTCCTTGAGCCGGAGCTTGCGTACCCTTCGACGATACTTTGCAGAGAGAAGGCAATTGTTGTCAACTTGGAGCATATCAGAGCAATCATAACGGCCAATGAAGTCTTTGTTCCGAATCCGATGGACCCAACTCTTGAATCTTTTGTTTGGGATCTCAAATGCAAGCTTTCGGTTGTGAGTGTTTTGTTATGTTGTTTTTCAATAGTATTGGATGAACATGTGAAAACTTTTTGTCCAATGGGCAAAGTCAATCCATATTGCATAGAAAAATAAAATCACGATGTGGTATACTTGAACCATCGAAGAAGGAACAATTGTTAATAGAGAAGTATCATTGATTATGTTGTTAATTATGTGAAGGCTACCATGGAAAGTCGTAAGGCTATGGAGGAATCACCCTCTACTATCTTACCGGAGACAGGAGATAGTAATCCTAGAACTCCAACAGAGGAACCAAATGCGGGCAATTCAAAGCCATTGCCTTTTGAGTTTAGAGCTCTTGAAATATGCCTAGAGTCTGTGTGCAACATCCTTGAATCCGAGGTATGTCACTGGCATTCAAGTTTATGGTTATTGTTTGACTTGTTCAAACATGTTTTAACTGTANAGATTCACAAGTGAAGGGCAATATTTGGAAACTTCCGATTTTCAACACCATGTTAATGCCCAAAACTGTCATCGTACTTACTTCGTCATTGTAAGAGCATCTCATTCAAAATCAATTGATAATGAGTGGAAAGGTTTTTTAAGTATATAAATCGATATTGGGTAGTTCTAATCATTCGATATGAAATAAAAGTACTCTTTACATCCTCTATCAAGTGGGATCCCAGCTCGCACATGAGGCTAACAAATAAATAATCAAAAACTTGTACTAGAAAATGTAAATGGGTAAAAGACTTGACCTAATAACCACTCAAGGCTTAACTCTGATAATTGATGACAAGAGAGAATGAAAAGAAAATGAGATAAAGTATTATTGCGGTTTCAAAGTTAGTGAGCATAGTGATTAAAGATATAGAATAGAAACCCTTTCTAGCAGGGCAAAACATTACTAGAAAATAATTAAACTACCTCAAATACTAAGATATTCTAACACCACCAACCCCCCGGGTCCAAACTGAAAATAATATTAAGAGTTTGCCACGAAGAAAACAAATCGCATAATGATACGAGACTTTGTAAAAAAATCCGTCAATTGTATAGTAGAAGTCTTTCAATCATATAAACCAACCTTGAGTGATCCTAGTCATTCGATGTAGAAGGTTTCGACAAGAGTTTAGGGAACTGGACTAAGGTTTTTTATCATGTAAACCACCAACCAAAGTCTAAATGATGTCCACTAATTACAAAAGCTAGTTGCACAGACTACACGAGATGCCATGTAAACCACCAACCAAAGCCTAAATGATGTCCAGTAATTACAAAAGCTAGTTGCACAGACTACACGCGATGAAGCTTGGCACTGGATGAAGCTTGTGAGGACGGGGTAAACCTCTTTCTCTCTCGCTTCCTCTAAATTCTGTTTTTCTTCTGCTTCTCAATCTATAACATCTGGTCAAGAGAGTATATGATTTTAAAACTTATTGATTGGTGTTGTTAAGTCTGACCATCAATAGTGATGTACAGATCCAATCCGAAACAATGTATTTTGCTAATTGAAGTATCAGACGCTGATCGCAGCCTCATTACTTGCAGGACTCCTTTCATGAGTTTCCCATGAAGTGCCTTACCACAACAAAAGATAAATGATTCACTCGCCATGGGTGTCCTATACAGACTAAGCATCTTCACCTTCCCTTATCAAACCTATACCAAATCTCATTTGTATCCTTCCACCATGTTAGTTGTGACGTCAACTGCAGCTCACCTCTGGATTTGACTTCACAATTCTGCTCTGTCTATTGCATACTTAACAATGACCACCATAAGTCTCCAGAGACCATACGGACAAGACCCATTTCTATAACGATGGAGCAATGCATCTCTCCAGTAGCACCCTTTTGTAAATAATTACACCTGGTGTGTGTGTGTGTGTAAACTTTCCATAAAAGTTTCTCTGGTCACACAACCCAGTGGACCATTCAAGGGCTTACCCAAAATAATTGCCAGCTTACCACTGCAAGTTGCTTGCACAATATGAATTTCTTCCCCTGCAGATGAGACTGCCTCATGCTATAAGCAAACGATGATCTCATCCAGATTGCTATCCTCATGCCTACACTTCAAGGAGATCCAAAATTGGATCTCCACCTGAGTTCAACAATACTTGACATATATGTGAAGGTGCATATGAAACTCTAGGTTCATTTTTCTATCACCAGTAGTCTCCACAAGAACAGGACCCATAAAATTGTGGAACCGATTTATATCCCTCACAACGATCTCTCGCTCATAGATTTTTTAAATGAACTTGGTGGTTGTGTGACAGTCTCCACAGATTTGAAGGTTTTTTGTCACTCAAAGAACTGTTCCGTGACTGGTATTAAGAAGCCCAAAGGCAATGGCCAACTTCTCACTGTGGGTTGTCAGGTAATGTTCTTTCTCCTCTTCACTGACATCATGCAACACAGCATTAGTATCTGGTACGTAACCAGCTGACTTAATCTTCTCAGGCAGTGCCTCCAATAACATGTAGATTTCCTTAGCCTGTGGATGAGACAAATCTCCTCCAAGAAATAAATGAGCTTTCCCATTGATCTCAATCCAACTGCATCCAGGACTCTTCTTCACACACTGCAATTTTAATAGAGTTCTCAAATTGTTCACTTCCTCCCACATCCCAACATCAGCATACATATTTGAGAGCAGAACATAATTCCCACTGTTGTCTGATTCTAAGACAAACAACTTTCTAGCTGCTATTTCTTCAATCTCCAAGCTCTGGTGACTTCGACTGGCAGCCAATACCGAGCAACATATGCTTGGCCCCGCTTGCATTGGCATTTGAGAGATAAGGTCATATGCTTCCACTAATCTCCCAGCACGACCAAGAAGGTCTACAACACAAGCATAATTTTCGTGTTTTTGTTCCACAAAATACACTCTACTCATGCAAAGTATTTCAAGCCAACATCGACAAGACCAGAATGGCTGCATCCTGACAACAAACCTGTGAATGTGATTGCATCGGGTAGAATCCCAGCTCTTATCATATCCTCGAATGTTGACACAGCTTCTGTTCCATGGCCATGAGAAGCATATGCAGAAATCACGGTGTTCCAAGTAACCAAACTCTTTCCATGTTGACGGATCCTATCAAAACAACTTTGGGCATCAACAAAGCTCCCACATCTAGCATACATTGCAGCAAGTGCTGTTTCCACCGAAGAATGGAAACCCAAACCGATCTCACTAGCATAATTATGAATTTGTCTACCACACTCAAGAGCAGCAGAGTGTGCACAAGCAGGTAAAACAATCATGATTGTAACCCAATTAGGTTTCACCTCCGAATCCTCCTGTAACATCTCATCAAACAAACCCAACGCCCTGTCCGCCAACCCATTCTGAGTGTACCCGGATATCATAGCAGTCCAAGACACAATGACATTTTCCCAAATAAATCCTCCGCAACAGAAATCTTGCTATCTTTCATGTGCCCAGCAATCAACGCATTCCAAGATGAAACATCTCTCACAGGCATTTCATTAAACAACTTATGGGCATCACTCAATTCACCACATTTCACATACATATCAATCAAAGAAGTCCCTACGTACATATCAAACTCCAACCCAGTTCTCAAACTCAACCCATGAACGCATTTTCCCAATCCAACATACGCTAGGTCAGCACAGGACTTGAGCACAAAAGGGTATATAAAGCAATCACCCTTAAGACCCAACAAATGCATTCCAAGGTAGGTTCTTGAAGTTCTCTCGCAAAACCCATACCAGGTATATGCTCGAATAATTGAATTGTACAAAAGAGAAGATGGACTTGTAATACTATCAAAGAGGACTATAGCGGAGTTTACATCGCCTGCGCTAGCGTACATTGCTACCATCTTTGAAGCAACGAAGGCGTTGGGTTGGAGACCTCGGAGGACCATGTGGGAGTGGACTTGTTGGCCTAGTTTGATGAAGTTTTGGCCAGTCAAGAACTGGAAAATCGACGGGTATGATGAAATGTGAGGTGGGTTTTCTGTCAATGGATGCAAAAGAGTTTGAAGCATTCCTTTTTGAGAAGTAAGGGTTCCATTTCACAAATCTTTCCATTAACAGAGAGAAGTATAGGGGGGTAGACGGAAAACGAAGCACATGTAAGTTTTAAATCTATATCTATAATAGGGCGGCTTTAACGACAAGTCTATCCTAGATCTCAAATTCATTCTTCCGATCATGAAACTTCTGCTGGTACTGTTGGTGGTTGCTCAACGATATTTCTTTTAGCCAAGGGATTGTTTGGTTGATGAAATTTTGCTCTTGTGAATGTCAGAACAGAAGTAAATAGTATCTGTTATGAACATGATGCTCGGAAATATATCGATGTAATATTAAGAATGTGTATTTCGAATTCTTTGCTACATGAAACAAACATATAAACTGGGTAAATAGAAATGAAAAAATGTTTCAAATACATTACAATTATAAGCTTTTTTCTACATCATTGCACCTGGGGGGTGGTAAACAAGGTGAAGAAATGAGTTCGAACTCGAACCCGACGAGTTTGTTTTTAAAAAAGAGTTTAAAAATGTGTTTAAATTTGGCTCGTTTTCTAAATAAACGAGTTTAAGTTAAGTCCAAAACAAGCCGAGCTATAGTTCGACTATTTTATAAATAAACAAGTTAAATTTTATGAACTCGAACCTAAAATGAGTCGAGTTTAAACGAGTCTAAAAAATTATTTGAACTTGACTGTTCTTTCAAATTAGTCCTCCAAATGAGACCTAATTATTTTTAAAAAAGGGGATCATCCAACTTGAATTCTTTGGACTCTTGATTGTAATGTATATTTCAGATGCTTTTAATTATCCGCAAACCATGAAAAATATTTATAACTATTATAAATGAGTCAAGATCGGATCCATAACTTTGAACTTTAAGTTACTTGAGCTCAACTTGAAATATTAGAAGAGCTCAAAAATTTAATCATGTTTGACAATTTTTGTAATTCGAACAGATTTCAACAATCTAAAATTTAGTCCATCCCTAATAGTGGGATACAGGATTTGTAAATGATTCAATCTCTTAGATTCGGAGATTTACAAATCTTGTATTTTTAAATACTTAGTATATTGATTATAGTGTTAATTGTAGATAAAGTCCTTAAAGTATATTGAGTTTCTACTATTTTGATTCCCAAAATTTCAATTGCATTATTTTAGTCCCTCAAATAATAAATATGTTTTTATGTTGTCTCTCAAGCAAACAACACTTAAATTACTAACGATTTTTAATCATAAATGTCACGTGACATTTTAAATATAGGTAAAAAAATAATTTGGATAATTCTTGAACAAATTCTACACAAATTTTAGTCAAATAGCTATTCAAATAACGCTTTTTTTGTCAAGAGCTGGCCAACACATTTTTTTGTTAATATTTAGGTATCACGTAACAAGTTTATGATAAAAAATCATTAACAATTTAGATATTGTCTGTTTGAGGAACCACGTAAAAACGTATTTAATATTTCATGGATTAAAATGATATAATTGAAATATTATATATCAAAATGAGACAAATTTCATACTTTATAGACATCTAATGCAATTAACCCTTCAATGATCAAAATGATGCAATTGAAATATTAGATATTAAAATGAGACAAACTTTATACTTTGTGAATCTTTAGTGCAATTAGCACTTGATTATATATACACACAATGTCACCGCCACACATTGGCCAGACTTTTTCAGCACATTAATCTGCTCAACAATACTATACTAAATAATATTTTTTATTAAATTTTTCATCTTAAGTGACGTGACACAGTTTTTATCATCACAATACTTAATAATGGATATTATATCACATCACTTGGAATAAAAAACTTAGTAAGCATAACATTACTAAAACATCGATTATCTTTCAATCTTGTGCAAAATCGAGAAGGTTGGTTTTTTTAACTTCCCTAATAGGGAAAAAATATTGCATGTAATTTTTACACTATATTAACAGTGTCATATGGTATAATAATTGACTAATAAGTAGACAAATTAGCAAATTAGCCCTTCTTGCACAAGAAAATATTCATTATAACAATGATACCACGTGACAGTGTGATATAGTATCACCAACTAATAATAAAATTTCAAATAAGTAAATGGACCCTATAAAAATTAATAACTAACCTGTCACGTAATCAAATAACTCTCTACTCTTTTTTCATGTAAGCGCAAGTGAGATTCACGTTACCTACTTAGAGTTTTATTATCGGTTGGTGATACCATGTCAGCGATCATCGTTGCATTTACTATATACTCCTCCTACATCAAGTATATCATATATATATATAGGAGAATATGTACTCTTTTTGTTCTTGTTATACCTCGTTGACCTTATTTTATATTTTTTGTTCTTTTCTTATTCGATGATTACACAATATCACCCACATCCAATATTTACTATATACTCTTTCTGCACCAGACATATCATACATATAGGAGAATGCATACTCTTGTTGTACTTTTTTTATTTTTATTATACACCGTTGACTTTATTTAATTCTTTTTGTTGTTTTCTTATTTGATGATTATGCAATGTCACCCACGTCCAATATATATTATATACTTCTCCTACACCAGGCACATCATATCATAGATATCGGAGAATATGTACTTTTTTTTGTACTATTTTTGTTCTTATTATACCCCGTTGACCGTATTTTACTATTTTTAATCTTTTTTTATTTGATGATTATGCAATGTCACTCACGTCCAATATCTACTTGCAAGTAGGACCTTCCCCACCTAGAACTTTTCCCACGCCCATTTGAGTTTTAAAAAACCGTTGATTATACATTTTTCTGAGGGAGGGAAGGAGAATAACAGTCTAACTGGAACAGGTGAACTTGGTTTCAGTCTCTCTCTCTCTCTCATGTCATATTCTAAACAAATGAAGGACCAAATCTGTCTTAATTTAATCTCCAAAACCCTAAACTTCAACCCCATTTTTCAACTATCACCACCACTCCAAATCATCACTTGCAAACATGCAAGATCCACTCCCAAATTATAAAAGGGTTAATTGTAAGTTGTACTCCGAAAGATAATTCGAGCATCAATTTAGACCGCAAAAGATCAAAAATTTTAATTTACAACATTAAAGATATAAATTTTTATCAATGTGCACCCCCAAAGATAAAAAATCTCAATTTACACCATCAAAAATAGAATTTGTATCAATGTGTACCCCCAAAGATAAAAAATCTCAATTTGTACCCTCAAAAATATAAACTTGTATAAAGGTGCACCTAAAACTAAATTTGATAAATAATACCTAAATCTCCTCATGTTTGTCATTTAATCATTTGGACCCCTTCACATTTAAAATATTACTCCTACATCTCATGATGTTTATGCACGTGTAACACATAACCTTTTTTTGTTGAAATCGGTTAATATAACTGTTAAAAAATATGATTATATCCTAATAAAAAATTATAATTTCATATTACCATTTATTTTGTGGGTCCGATATAATCTAAAGTTTAAAATCAAGCTTATCATTTGAATGTTCATTTAGTTATAATTTATCAATTTAGTTTTAGGTGCACATTGATACAAATTTCTATTTTTAAGAGTGCAAATTAAAATTTTTTATCTTTAAGGGTGCACATTTCTATCTTTGAGGGTACAAATTGAGATTTTTGATCTTTAGGGGTGCACATTGATACAAATTTTTATTCTTGAGGGTACAAATTGAGATTTTTAATCTTTGATGGAATAAATTGAGATTCGAACAATCTTTAAGGGTATAATTTATAATTAATCCATTATAAAATTATTCTATAATAACCTGTCAGAGTTGTCTCTACATTAAGCATGTTCACCATATTTTTCTTGGTATGGTAGGGACAACAAAAGCGGCACGGCGATTATGAACACTCAAAAGCCCAAGATTCGAGCTTTGGAGATGTTACTAGAAGCATATTTTGTCCAAATGGACTGAGGACTAAGCAGATTGTCAAATGTAAGTTGCATTATTTCTATTTTTTTGGCAACAAGTTTTCTAAGTAAAAAGAGAATTACATAAAAAAAAGTAAAAATATGTTTGATGATTATTTTGGGTTAATAGTATTTTTAATCACTAAAATATACGTGTAAAATATGTTTGAAAATTATTTTTGGTTAATAGTACTTTTGATACCTAAAATATATGTATTTTATCAGTTTGGTTCTTAATGTATGAATTTTATCAATTTAGTCTTTAAAGTATTTATTTTGTATTTAAATGGTCCATAACCAAACGGACATGTAAGTTTTTTAACAGAAGTGACCATGTGTCATTTTTTTACGTAATTACACATGATCACTCTTGTCAAAAACTGAACAAATTATCTGTGTATGGACTATTTAAACACAAAATGAATATTTTATGGACAAAATCAATTCAATGAGAACCAAACTGACAAAATACGCATATTTTAGAAACCAAAAGTACTATTAACCCGATTATTTTATAAAAGTTAATCTATATATATGCATATTAGTATAAATATATACTTATATATGTTCATTTTTGGTGGTTTTGTGGTTGAGTCTGATTTTTGGTAATCCAGAGATCTCAGGTTCAATTCATTTTCATACCCTCTAAGGGCTAACCACTCTTATCCTTTTAAAGACATGCTCTAACTCAACTTAAACCACGGTGACTGGTCATTAAACTCGAAAGAATAGTTGACATAAGGTTAGACACCCTAAAACAAAAAATACATACGACTAAGCTCTGGAAAAAAAGTGAGTACCTCAGGCAAGGGAAAAAAAAAAAAAACTTTTCTAGTCTTATCACTACTTTTTTATGCTTGAGTGACATTCTTTGAACCTAATTTGTTAATCTAAGTTGCCGACTTACTCACTATTGTTATTGGATTGTTGGTGAGCCACGATAATGGTTGGGGCTTGCTACCAATTGAAGGGTGAGAATAGATTTATTAGTAAATTAAGTCAACAAATTAAGTATAAATAATATTACTGTTTAGGGTTTCATAAACTCATTTGTCACTTTTTAAAACTATCATGCCTTCTTGCATATATATATATATATATATATATATATATGTTTGTTCTAATGCTTCTATCTCTCTTGTGACAAAGATGAGGGAATATGTTGATGATACAGAGAACTACATCAACATCATTTTGGATGACAAACAGAACCAGTTGCTACACATTGGGGTTATTTTAGGTACTACACTCCTTGTGATGCATTTGAGCATGGCCACCATTGATTCTCTCAACATGAAACTCCACATCTCCGTCTACGATGGCGTCCAACGGCTGTTCAATGAAGCTACTGCGGGTATCGTGGGTGGTTGTTTGTGCATGCTTTTTCTGGCCCTCCTACTTTTGAAGACAAAAGGATTGCTAGGATGAAGGATCTGCACGTACGCTCTCGGGAATCAACCTTTATAAAGATTATAACCTATTGTACGAGACTCCAATAGTCCTATTAGTCTAAAGAAGTGACCCAATTTCTATCATGACTTGTTATCACTAATGTCGGGAAAAAAAAACATTGATACAATAGTTATGAACTCTTTAGTCATAAAGCTGAAAGAACACAGTTATACATGTATAAAACATGTGCATGCAGTGACATTTCCAACAAATTGAGTACTGTCATAATCTATGCAACACCATTATGTTGAGGAGGTTCTTCCTATACACTGTAGTGATGAACAATACCTTAATTCTCACAGAACTCTTTCAAATACCCTTAAACAGTATTTGGAACTATTACCGGTCTTGAACTGCTTAATTTTGTTTATCCGTTAATCGTGATGTCTATTAAACCGCTATGTACTCTAGAAAAAATATGACTTAGGTATTCATAAATTTCAACGATGTCTGTTGCTTGAACTGCTCAAAAACACTTGTGCTAGCTTGACAGAAAGGGATGGATTGCCAAGATGAAGCCAATCTCTGGCAACTGTTTGATGAATGTTCAAGTTTTATCGCATTCATGACGGCCATAAATTGAGTCAAGTCTCTGAGTACTGAGATATCACACATGGAAGTCTTACATGGAAGGGGAAAAGAAAAATATTATGTAAAAATCTCTATATCCTATAAACAAATTTACATTTGGTGGAGACTTAAGTTTTTAGATCAGTTTGAGTTTTTACATATATGGGACGATGTTTTCCTTCATGGCCTCCCAGCCTCCACCCTTAAGTGTTTTTTAACTACGACTATGGTGAATGGTTCGCAATAACTCCGGGCATGAGAAAAATGAAAAATAAATTGTTTAAATTACACCTTAGATGAGTTTATTATAATTATGATTGGGTAAAATATTATAGTTTTCTAAACTATTATTCTAGTGACACATTCGGTTTTCTATTGATTGGAGTGAGTAGTTGTCAGTATAAATATTAAATTTAGGCTTACATACCATGTGCATGGGTGTTGACAAGAGAGGAGTGGGAGAAGAACATAAGATAGGCAGAGTGTTTGTGAAACCATGGGAGAGAGAGAGATTTGTTTGAGATGAATATCATAAAGTGAAATCACAATGGAGATCAAAATTGAATTATCAAAAAAAAAAAAAAAATTTGAATTGTTTGAGCTTTTAAATCAAAATTGGGCTAATGTCATTTTATGAAAGATGCTTCGATTTTTAATTTATACCCTCAAATATTAAAAATCTTAATTTATATTCTTTTTTTTTGTCATATTAATTTGTACCCCTAATGTTATGAATTAGTAGAAATGTTGACATTGCCCAACTTACTGTTAAATTTTTCATCATAAATTGAAGCACGTGAGTTGTAAGTGCTTCAGTCATATACTTATATACGAATTCATAGACTGTTGGCGTCTCATGTGAGTTGCACATGATAGACTTAGCTATTGTTTGATTAATGAAAATTTATTTTTTGATACGTAAAACGATGTTAAATTGTTCGCAAGTGAAGATATGCAGTAATAAACACACCTCATTCTCGTACTCGAAATATTTTTAATTTACATGTTTTAATTTATGATAGAGAATTGAACAATAGTATGAGCGAAGTACACGTTACTATTAATTCGTGACATAAGAGTGAAAATTAAAATTTTTAATGTTAAGAGAATACAAATTAAAAATTAAATATTTTTCGGCGGACAAAGTGAGGTTAGCCAATCAAAATTAGATTAGTTTATAGTTCTGACCTATCTAACTAACTTTTAAGTGTATAGTTGGGTTCTAGCAAGATGCATACTGAACCAGAGTTCACCTGTTTCAGGTGGGTTCTCTCTCTCTCTCTCTCTCTCTCTCAGGTCCTAAAAAACAAATCCCACATCAATGAAGGGTCAAATCTTTTTTTTATTTCATCTCCAGAACCTTAAATTTCAACCCCTTTTTTCGATACCCACCACTTCAACTCCATATCATCACCTGCAAATTTGCAGGATCCGATGGAACAAAATCGGCGCGTACCCTTTCCACCTCAAACAAGGCGTGCGGACTCCGGCGCCGGATCAAAGGCTTGGCTCGTTGTCTCAGAGCACGGAAGCTCGAATGTCGATCTCGGAAAAAATCAGATTATGCGCCTGACTGGAGTCTCGGCCCACGACTTGAGGGTCCTTGAGCCGGAGCTTGCGTACCCTTCGACGATACTTTGCAGAGAGAAGGCAATTGTTGTCAACTTGGAGCATATCAGAGCAATCATAACGGCCAATGAAGTCTTTGTTCCGAATCCGATGGACCCAACTCTTGAATCTTTTGTTTGGGATCTCAAATGCAAGCTTTCGGTTGTGAGTGTTTTGTTATGTTGTTTTTCAATAGTATTGGATGAACATGTGAAAACTTTTTGTCCAATGGGCAAAGTCAATCCATATTGCATAGAAAAATAAAATCACGATGTGGTATACTTGAACCATCGAAGAAGGAACAATTGTTAATAGAGAAGTATCATTGATTATGTTGTTAATTATGTGAAGGCTACCATGGAAAGTTGTAAGGCTATGGAGGAATCACCCTCTACTATCTTACCGGAGACAGGAGATAGTAATCCTAGAACTCCAACAGAGGGACCAAATGCGGGCAATTCAAAGCCATTACCTTTTGAGTTTAGAGCTCTTGAAATATGCCTAGAGTCTGTGTGCAACATCCTTGAATCCGAGGTATGTCACTGGCATTCAAGTTTATGGTTATTGTTTGACTTGTTCAAACATGTTTTAACTGTAGTTTGTGTACTGCATGCATTTGCAACATGATGCATATTTTCAGAATGTGACCCAGTGATTACCTTTGAGTCATTGTACATTTAAACTTGATGGCTATTGTATTCTTCATGCCTACTGTTATTTTTTTGTAGTTTTTTTTTTTTATCTTAATATATTGTGTGCTTATCGTTGCTTTTGTAATTTTATGAACACATTTTTAAGGCTGGGCAATAGACATTTTGTTGCAACGCTAGCAGGCCTTATCGACCACCACACCTTAAAAAATCTTATGGATGCTTCCCTATGATTAGACTAATATTTATGAGATTTAATCTTTTAGAAAGCATGCATCACGTATGTAATACTAACACTGTGGAATGACCTTTTCAATTTGTTGCCCTGTTGATAGTTTATTGACATGAACACNGGCAAAACATTACTAGAAAATAATTAAACTACCTCAAATACTAAGATATTCTAACACCACCAACCCCCCGGGTCCAAACTGAAAATAATATTAAGAGTTTGCCACGAAGAAAACAAATCGCATAATGATACGAGACTTTGTAAAAAAATCCGTCAATTGTATAGTAGAAGTCTTTCAATCATATAAACCAACCTTGAGTGATCCTAGTCATTCGATGTAGAAGGTTTCGACAAGAGTTTAGGGAACTGGACTAAGGTTTTTTATCATGTAAACCACCAACCAAAGTCTAAATGATGTCCACTAATTACAAAAGCTAGTTGCACAGACTACACGAGATGCCATGTAAACCACCAACCAAAGCCTAAATGATGTCCAGTAATTACAAAAGCTAGTTGCACAGACTACACGCGATGAAGCTTGGCACTGGATGAAGCTTGTGAGGACGGGGTAAACCTCTTTCTCTCTCGCTTCCTCTAAATTCTGTTTTTCTTCTGCTTCTCAATCTATAACATCTGGTCAAGAGAGTATATGATTTTAAAACTTATTGATTGGTGTTGTTAAGTCTGACCATCAATAGTGATGTACAGATCCAATCCGAAACAATGTATTTTGCTAATTGAAGTATCAGACGCTGATCGCAGCCTCATTACTTGCAGGACTCCTTTCATGAGTTTCCCATGAAGTGCCTTACCACAACAAAAGATAAATGATTCACTCGCCATGGGTGTCCTATACAGACTAAGCATCTTCACCTTCCCTTATCAAACCTATACCAAATCTCATTTGTATCCTTCCACCATGTTAGTTGTGACGTCAACTGCAGCTCACCTCTGGATTTGACTTCACAATTCTGCTCTGTCTATTGCATACTTAACAATGACCACCATAAGTCTCCAGAGACCATACGGACAAGACCCATTTCTATAACGATGGAGCAATGCATCTCTCCAGTAGCACCCTTTTGTAAATAATTACACCTGGTGTGTGTGTGTGTGTAAACTTTCCATAAAAGTTTCTCTGGTCACACAACCCAGTGGACCATTCAAGGGCTTACCCAAAATAATTGCCAGCTTACCACTGCAAGTTGCTTGCACAATATGAATTTCTTCCCCTGCAGATGAGACTGCCTCATGCTATAAGCAAACGATGATCTCATCCAGATTGCTATCCTCATGCCTACACTTCAAGGAGATCCAAAATTGGATCTCCACCTGAGTTCAACAATACTTGACATATATGTGAAGGTGCATATGAAACTCTAGGTTCATTTTTCTATCACCAGTAGTCTCCACAAGAACAGGACCCATAAAATTGTGGAACCGATTTATATCCCTCACAACGATCTCTCGCTCATAGATTTTTTAAATGAACTTGGTGGTTGTGTGACAGTCTCCACAGATTTGAAGGTTTTTTGTCACTCAAAGAACTGTTCCGTGACTGGTATTAAGAAGCCCAAAGGCAATGGCCAACTTCTCACTGTGGGTTGTCAGGTAATGTTCTTTCTCCTCTTCACTGACATCATGCAACACAGCATTAGTATCTGGTACGTAACCAGCTGACTTAATCTTCTCAGGCAGTGCCTCCAATAACATGTAGATTTCCTTAGCCTGTGGATGAGACAAATCTCCTCCAAGAAATAAATGAGCTTTCCCATTGATCTCAATCCAACTGCATCCAGGACTCTTCTTCACACACTGCAATTTTAATAGAGTTCTCAAATTGTTCACTTCCTCCCACATCCCAACATCAGCATACATATTTGAGAGCAGAACATAATTCCCACTGTTGTCTGATTCTAAGACAAACAACTTTCTAGCTGCTATTTCTTCAATCTCCAAGCTCTGGTGACTTCGACTGGCAGCCAATACCGAGCAACATATGCTTGGCCCCGCTTGCATTGGCATTTGAGAGATAAGGTCATATGCTTCCACTAATCTCCCAGCACGACCAAGAAGGTCTACAACACAAGCATAATTTTCGTGTTTTTGTTCCACAAAATACACTCTACTCATGCAAAGTATTTCAAGCCAACATCGACAAGACCAGAATGGCTGCATCCTGACAACAAACCTGTGAATGTGATTGCATCGGGTAGAATCCCAGCTCTTATCATATCCTCGAATGTTGACACAGCTTCTGTTCCATGGCCATGAGAAGCATATGCAGAAATCACGGTGTTCCAAGTAACCAAACTCTTTCCATGTTGACGGATCCTATCAAAACAACTTTGGGCATCAACAAAGCTCCCACATCTAGCATACATTGCAGCAAGTGCTGTTTCCACCGAAGAATGGAAACCCAAACCGATCTCACTAGCATAATTATGAATTTGTCTACCACACTCAAGAGCAGCAGAGTGTGCACAAGCAGGTAAAACAATCATGATTGTAACCCAATTAGGTTTCACCTCCGAATCCTCCTGTAACATCTCATCAAACAAACCCAACGCCCTGTCCGCCAACCCATTCTGAGTGTACCCGGATATCATAGCAGTCCAAGACACAATGACATTTTCCCAAATAAATCCTCCGCAACAGAAATCTTGCTATCTTTCATGTGCCCAGCAATCAACGCATTCCAAGATGAAACATCTCTCACAGGCATTTCATTAAACAACTTATGGGCATCACTCAATTCACCACATTTCACATACATATCAATCAAAGAAGTCCCTACGTACATATCAAACTCCAACCCAGTTCTCAAACTCAACCCATGAACGCATTTTCCCAATCCAACATACGCTAGGTCAGCACAGGACTTGAGCACAAAAGGGTATATAAAGCAATCACCCTTAAGACCCAACAAATGCATTCCAAGGTAGGTTCTTGAAGTTCTCTCGCAAAACCCATACCAGGTATATGCTCGAATAATTGAATTGTACAAAAGAGAAGATGGACTTGTAATACTATCAAAGAGGACTATAGCGGAGTTTACATCGCCTGCGCTAGCGTACATTGCTACCATCTTTGAAGCAACGAAGGCGTTGGGTTGGAGACCTCGGAGGACCATGTGGGAGTGGACTTGTTGGCCTAGTTTGATGAAGTTTTGGCCAGTCAAGAACTGGAAAATCGACGGGTATGATGAAATGTGAGGTGGGTTTTCTGTCAATGGATGCAAAAGAGTTTGAAGCATTCCTTTTTGAGAAGTAAGGGTTCCATTTCACAAATCTTTCCATTAACAGAGAGAAGTATAGGGGGGTAGACGGAAAACGAAGCACATGTAAGTTTTAAATCTATATCTATAATAGGGCGGCTTTAACGACAAGTCTATCCTAGATCTCAAATTCATTCTTCCGATCATGAAACTTCTGCTGGTACTGTTGGTGGTTGCTCAACGATATTTCTTTTAGCCAAGGGATTGTTTGGTTGATGAAATTTTGCTCTTGTGAATGTCAGAACAGAAGTAAATAGTATCTGTTATGAACATGATGCTCGGAAATATATCGATGTAATATTAAGAATGTGTATTTCGAATTCTTTGCTACATGAAACAAACATATAAACTGGGTAAATAGAAATGAAAAAATGTTTCAAATACATTACAATTATAAGCTTTTTTCTACATCATTGCACCTGGGGGGTGGTAAACAAGGTGAAGAAATGAGTTCGAACTCGAACCCGACGAGTTTGTTTTTAAAAAAGAGTTTAAAAATGTGTTTAAATTTGGCTCGTTTTCTAAATAAACGAGTTTAAGTTAAGTCCAAAACAAGCCGAGCTATAGTTCGACTATTTTATAAATAAACAAGTTAAATTTTATGAACTCGAACCTAAAATGAGTCGAGTTTAAACGAGTCTAAAAAATTATTTGAACTTGACTGTTCTTTCAAATTAGTCCTCCAAATGAGACCTAATTATTTTTAAAAAAGGGGATCATCCAACTTGAATTCTTTGGACTCTTGATTGTAATGTGTATTTCAGATGCTTTTAATTATCCGCAAACCATGAAAAATATTTATAACTATTATAAATGAGTCAAGATCGGATCCATAACTTTGAACTTTAAGTTACTTGAGCTCAACTTGAAATATTAGAAGAGCTCAAAAATTTAATCATGTTTGACAATTTTTGTAATTCGAACAGATTTCAACAATCTAAAATTTAGTCCATCCCTAATAGTGGGATACAGGATTTGTAAATGATTCAATCTCTTAGATTCGGAGATTTACAAATCTTGTATTTTTAAATACTTAGTATATTGATTATAGTGTTAATTGTAGATAAAGTCCTTAAAGTATATTGAGTTTCTACTATTTTGATTCCCAAAATTTCAATTGCATTATTTTAGTCCCTCAAATAATAAATATGTTTTTATGTTGTCTCTCAAGCAAACAACACTTAAATTACTAACGATTTTTAATCATAAATGTCACGTGACATTTTAAATATAGGTAAAAAAATAATTTGGATAATTCTTGAACAAATTCTACACAAATTTTAGTCAAATAGCTATTCAAATAACGCTTTTTTTGTCAAGAGCTGGCCAACACATTTTTTTGTTAATATTTAGGTATCACGTAACAAGTTTATGATAAAAAATCATTAACAATTTAGATATTGTCTGTTTGAGGAACCACGTAAAAACGTATTTAATATTTCATGGATTAAAATGATATAATTGAAATATTATATATCAAAATGAGACAAATTTCATACTTTATAGACATCTAATGCAATTAACCCTTCAATGATCAAAATGATGCAATTGAAATATTAGATATTAAAATGAGACAAACTTTATACTTTGTGAATCTTTAGTGCAATTAGCACTTGATTATATATACACACAATGTCACCGCCACACATTGGCCAGACTTTTTCAGCACATTAATCTGCTCAACAATACTATACTAAATAATATTTTTTATTAAATTTTTCATCTTAAGTGACGTGACACAGTTTTTATCATCACAATACTTAATAATGGATATTATATCACATCACTTGGAATAAAAAACTTAGTAAGCATAACATTACTAAAACATCGATTATCTTTCAATCTTGTGCAAAATCGAGAAGGTTGGTTTTTTTAACTTCCCTAATAGGGAAAAAATATTGCATGTAATTTTTACACTATATTAACAGTGTCATATGGTATAATAATTGACTAATAAGTAGACAAATTAGCAAATTAGCCCTTCTTGCACAAGAAAATATTCATTATAACAATGATACCACGTGACAGTGTGATATAGTATCACCAACTAATAATAAAATTTCAAATAAGTAAATGGACCCTATAAAAATTAATAACTAACCTGTCACGTAATCAAATAACTCTCTACTCTTTTTTCATGTAAGCGCAAGTGAGATTCACGTTACCTACTTAGAGTTTTATTATCGGTTGGTGATACCATGTCAGCGATCATCGTTGCATTTACTATATACTCCTCCTACATCAAGTATATCATATATATATATAGGAGAATATGTACTCTTTTTGTTCTTGTTATACCTCGTTGACCTTATTTTATATTTTTTGTTCTTTTCTTATTCGATGATTACACAATATCACCCACATCCAATATTTACTATATACTCTTTCTGCACCAGACATATCATACATATAGGAGAATGCATACTCTTGTTGTACTTTTTTTATTTTTATTATACACCGTTGACTTTATTTAATTCTTTTTGTTGTTTTCTTATTTGATGATTATGCAATGTCACCCACGTCCAATATATATTATATACTTCTCCTACACCAGGCACATCATATCATAGATATCGGAGAATATGTACTTTTTTTTGTACTATTTTTGTTCTTATTATACCCCGTTGACCGTATTTTACTATTTTTAATCTTTTTTTATTTGATGATTATGCAATGTCACTCACGTCCAATATCTACTTGCAAGTAGGACCTTCCCCACCTAGAACTTTTCCCACGCCCATTTGAGTTTTAAAAAACCGTTGATTATACATTTTTCTGAGGGAGGGAAGGAGAATAACAGTCTAACTGGAACAGGTGAACTTGGTTTCAGTCTCTCTCTCTCTCTCATGTCATATTCTAAACAAATGAAGGACCAAATCTGTCTTAATTTAATCTCCAAAACCCTAAACTTCAACCCCATTTTTCAACTATCACCACCACTCCAAATCATCACTTGCAAACATGCAAGATCCACTCCCAAATTATAAAAGGGTTAATTGTAAGTTGTACTCCGAAAGATAGTTCGAATATCAAATTAGACCCCAAAAGATCAAAAATTTTAATTTACAACATTAAAGATAGAAATTTTTATCAATGTGCACCCCCAAAGATAAAAAATCTCAATTTACACCATCAAAAATAGAATTTGTATCAATGTATACCCCCAAAGATAAAAAATATCAATTTGTACCCTCAAAAATATAAACTTGTATAAAGGTGCACCTAAAACTAAATTTGATAAATTATACCTAGATCTCCTCATGTTTGTCACTTAATCATTTGGACTCCTTCACATTTAGAATATTACTCTTACATCTCGTGACGTTTATGCACGTGTAACACGTAACCCTTTTTCGTTGAAATCGGTTAATATAACCGTTAAAAAATATGATTATATCCTAATAAAAAATTATAATTTCATATTACCCTTTATTTTGTGGGTCCGATATAATCTAAAGTTTAAAATCGAGCTTATCATTTGAATGTTCATTTAGTTATAATTTATCAATTTAGTTTTAGGTGCACATTGATACAAATTTCTATTTTTAAGAGTGCAAATTAAAATTTTTTATCTTTAAGGGTGCACATTTCTATCTTTGAGGGTACAAATTGAGATTTTTTATCTTTAGGGGTGCACATTGATACAAATTTGTATTCTTAAGGGTACAAATTGAGATTTTTAATCTTTGATGGTATAAATTGAGATTCGAACAATCTTTAAAGGTATAATTTATAATTAACCCATTATAAAATTATTCTATAATAACCTGTCAGAGATGTCTCTACATTAAGCATGTTCACCATATTTTTCTTGGTATGGTAGGGACAACAAAAGCGGCACGGCGATTATGAACGCTCAAAAGCCCAAGATTGGAGCTTTGGAGATGTTACTAGAAGCATATTTTGTCCAAATGGAGTGAGGACTAAGCAGATTGTCAAATGTAAGTTGCATTATTTCTATTTTTTTGGCAACAAGTTTTCTAAGTAAAAAGAGAATTACATAAAAAAAAGTAAAAATATGTTTGATGATTATTTTGGGTTAATAGTATTTTTAATCACTAAAATATACGTGTAAAATATGTTTGAAAATTATTTTTGGTTAATAGTACTTTTGATACCTAAAATATATGTATTTTATCAGTTTGGTCCTTAATGTATGAATTTTATCAATTTAGTCTTTAAAGTATTTATTTTGTATTTAAATGGTCCATAACCAAACGGACATGTAAGTTTTTTAACAGAAGTGACCATGTGTCATTTTTTTACGTAATTACACATGATCACTCTTGTCAAAAACTGAACAAATTATCTGTGTATGGACTATTTAAACACAAAATAAATATTTTATGGACAAAATCAATTCAATGAGAACCAAACTGACAAAATACGCATATTTTAGAAACCAAAAGTACTATTAACCCGATTATTTTATAAAAGTTAATCTATATATATGCATATTAGTATAAATATATACTTATATATGTTCATTTTTGGTGGTTTTGTGGTTGAGTCTGATTTTTGATAATCCAGAGATCTCAGGTTCAATTCATTTTCATACCCTCTAAGGGTTAACCATTCTTATCCTTTAAAAAAAAACATGCTCTAACTCAACTTAAACCACGGTGATTGGTCACTAAACTCGAAAGAATAGTTGACATAAGGTTGGACACCCTAAAACAAAAAATACATACGACTAAGCTCTGAAAAAAAAAGTAAGTACCTCGGGCAAGGGAAAAAAAAAAAAACTTTTCTAGTCTTATCACTAATTTTTTATGCTTGAGTGACATTCTTTGAACCTAATTTGTTAATCTAAGTTGCTGACTTACTCACTACTGTTATTGGATTGTTGGTGAGCCATGATAATGGTTGGGGCTTGCTACTAATTGAAGGGTGAGAATAGATTTATTAGTAAATTAAGTCAACAAATTAAGTATAAATAATATTACTGTTTAGTGTTTCAGAAACTCATTTGTCACTTTTTAAAACTATCATGCCTTCTTGCATATATATATATATATATGTGTGTGTGTGTTTGTTCTAATGCTTCTATCTCTCTTGTGACAAAGATGAGGGAATATGTTGATGATACAGAGGACTACATCAACATCATTTTGGATGACAAACAGAACCAGTTGCTACACATTGGGGTTATCTTAGGTACTACACTCCTTGTGATGCATTTGAGCATGGCCACCATTGATTCTCTCAACATGAAACTCCACATCTCCGTCTACGATGGCGTCCAACGGCTGTTCAATGAAGCTACTGCGGGTATCGTGGGTGGTTGTTTGTGCATGCTTTTTCTGGCCCTCCTACTTTTGAAGACAAAAGGATTGCTAGGATGAAGGATCTGCACGTACGCTCTCGGGAATCAACCTTTATAAAGATTATAGCCTATTGTACGAGACTCCAATAGTCCTATTAGTCTAAAGAAGTGACCCAATTTCTGTCATGACTTGTTATCACTAATGTCGGGAAAAAAAAACATTGATACAATAGTTATGAACTCTTTAGTCATAAAGCTGAAAGAACACAGTTATACATGTATAAAACATGTGCATGCAGTGACATTTCCAACAAATTGAGTACTGTCATAATCTATGCAACACCATTATGTTGAGGAGGTTCTTCCTATACACTGTAGTGATGAACAATACCTTAATTCTCACAGAACTCTTTCAAATACCCTTAAACAGTATTTGGAACTATTACCGGTCTTGAACTGCTTAATTTTGTTTATCCGTTCTATTAAACCGCTATGTACTCTAGAAAAAATATAACTTAGATATTCATAAATTTCAACGATGTCTGTTGCTTGAACTGCTCAAAAACACTTGTGCTAGCTTGACAGAAAGGGATGGATTGCCAAGATGAAGCCAATCTCTGGCAACTGTTTGATGAATGTTCAAGTTTTATCGCATTCATGACGGCCATAAATTGAGTCAAGTCTCTGAGTACTGAGATATCACACATGGAAGTCTTACATGGAAGGGGAAAAGAAAAATATTATGTAAAAATCTCTATATCCTATAAACAAATTTACATTTGGTGGAGACTTAAGTTTTTAGATCAGTTTGAGTTTTTACATATATGGGACGATGTTTTCCTTCATGGCCTCCCAGCCTCCACCCTTAAGTGTTTTTTAACTACGACTATGGTGAATGGTTCGCAATAACTCCGGGCATGAGAAAAATGAAAAATAAATTGTTTAAATTACACCTTAGATGAGTTTATTATAATTATGATTGGGTAAAATATTATAGTTTTCTAAACTATTATTCTAGTGACACATTCGGTTTTCTATTGATTGGAGTGAGTAGTTGTCAGTATAAATATTAAATTTAGGCTTACATACCATGTGCATGGGTGTTGACAAGAGAGGAGTGGGAGAAGAACATAAGATAGGCAGAGTGTTTGTGAAACCATGGGAGAGAGAGAGATTTGTTTGAGATGAATATCATAAAGTGAAATCACAATGGAGATCAAAATTGAATTATCAAAAAAAAAAAAAAAATTGAATTGTTTGAGCTTTTAAATCAAAATTGGGCTAATGTCATTTTATGAAAGATGCTTCGATTTTTAATTTATACCCTCAAATATTAAAAATCTTAATTTATATTCTTTTTTTTTGTCATATTAATTTGTACCCCTAATGTTATGAATTAGTAGAAATGTTGACATTGCCCAACTTACTGTTAAATTTTTCATCATAAATTGAAGCACGTGAGTTGTAAGTGCTTCAGTCATATACTTATATACGAATTCATAGACTGTTGGCGTCTCATGTGAGTTGCACATGATAGACTTAGCTATTGTTTGATTAATGAAAATTTATTTTTTGATACGTAAAACGATGTTAAATTGTTCGCAAGTGAAGATATGCAGTAATAAACACACCTCATTCTCGTACTCGAAATATTTTTAATTTACATGTTTTAATTTATGATAGAGAATTGAACAATAGTATGAGCGAAGTACACGTTACTATTAATTCGTGACATAAGAGTGAAAATTAAAATTTTTAATGTTAAGAGAATACAAATTAAAAATTAAATATTTTTCGGCGGACAAAGTGAGGTTAGCCAATCAAAATTAGATTAGTTTATAGTTCTGACCTATCTAACTAACTTTTACGTGTATAGTTGGGTTCTAGCAAGATGCATACTGAACCAGAGTTCACCTGTTTCAGGTGGGTTCTCTCTCTCTCTCTCTCTCTCTCTCAGGTCCTAAAAAACAAATCCCACATCAATGAAGGGTCAAATCTTTTTTTTATTTCATCTCCAGAACCTTAAATTTCAACCCCTTTTTTCGATACCCACCACTTCAACTCCATATCATCACCTGCAAATTTGCAGGATCCGATGGAACAAAATCGGCGCGTACCCTTTCCACCTCAAACAAGGCGTGCGGACTCCGGCGCCGGATCAAAGGCTTGGCTCGTTGTCTCAGAGCACGGAAGCTCGAATGTCGATCTCGGAAAAAATCAGATTATGCGCCTGACTGGAGTCTCGGCCCACGACTTGAGGGTCCTTGAGCCGGAGCTTGCGTACCCTTCGACGATACTTTGCAGAGAGAAGGCAATTGTTGTCAACTTGGAGCATATCAGAGCAATCATAACGGCCAATGAAGTCTTTGTTCCGAATCCGATGGACCCAACTCTTGAATCTTTTGTTTGGGATCTCAAATGCAAGCTTTCGGTTGTGAGTGTTTTGTTATGTTGTTTTTCAATAGTATTGGATGAACATGTGAAAACTTTTTGTCCAATGGGCAAAGTCAATCCATATTGCATAGAAAAATAAAATCACGATGTGGTATACTTGAACCATCGAAGAAGGAACAATTGTTAATAGAGAAGTATCATTGATTATGTTGTTAATTATGTGAAGGCTACCATGGAAAGTTGTAAGGCTATGGAGGAATCACCCTCTACTATCTTACCGGAGACAGGAGATAGTAATCCTAGAACTCCAACAGAGGGACCAAATGCGGGCAATTCAAAGCCATTACCTTTTGAGTTTAGAGCTCTTGAAATATGCCTAGAGTCTGTGTGCAACATCCTTGAATCCGAGGTATGTCACTGGCATTCAAGTTTATGGTTATTGTTTGACTTGTTCAAACATGTTTTAACTGTAGTTTGTGTACTGCATGCATTTGCAACATGATGCATATTTTCAGAATGTGACCCAGTGATTACCTTTGAGTCATTGTACATTTAAACTTGAAGGCTATTGTATTCTTCATGCCTACTGTTATTTTTTTGTAGTTTTTTTTTTTATCTTAATATATTGTGTGCATTTCCTGGTATAATAATTCTGATTCTTTTATTCCTGTTATCATGTGGCAGCATCACCCACCTCATTAATAACGTTATTCGAGTCAAAATCTTATATTTGTGCTTTTTAAGATCATCAAACTAGCAAATAACTCATTATCAAAATTTGTTATTTTGTCTTTTTGTCCATTTATTATACTAGCAATGTACGACATTCGTTGCACGTGAACATATTTAAATAACTGTAATCAAATTATGTACTTAATAATTATTTCGTAGAATCTAATTTGACAACTACATGTATATAATAACAGAATATAGATTGAATTTTACTTATTAATATAAATTCATACATAGATATAGAAAATTATATATAAGTGTACCAATAATAAATGAGTCAAAAAGAATTTAGAAGTCAAATACTATTAATAAAAGAGTCCAAAAAAAAATTGGAAGTCACATAGGTGTAGAAAAAAAAATGGATAGAGGTAAATATGACGGTATAATTAACTTTATAATAATAATTAAGAAGAAAATAAGAAATTAAAAGTTTTTTCAGGTGCTAACATTTATAAGTAGTTTAGATTATAGTCCACCATAAGCTAACACGCTTGGTCTGTATATTTTTAGTAATTCAATCTCACTGAATAAAAGAAGGTAAAATGTGGAGATGCAATATTAAAGATTTGAAATTATAATATCAATATTAGACTTCAACCATTTTTCTGACTCATTCATGGTTGCAATTCTTTTTCGTTAAGCATGTTATTTTATGACTATTTATAGAGTTTCTGCTGCTAGACATGATAAAATTTTCCGAATCTACATATTAATTTTTATCATCTTCATTGCTTATCGTTGCTTTTGTAATTTTATAAACACATTTTTAAGGCTGGGCAATAGACATTTTGTTGCAACGCTAGCAGGCCTTATCGACCACCACACCTTAAAAAATCTTATGGATGCTTCCCTATGATTAGACTAATATTTATGAGATTTAATCTTTTAGAAAGCATGCATCACGTATGTAATACTAACACTGTGGAATGACCTTTTCAATTTGTTGCCCTGTTGATAGTTTATTGACATGAACACGTTTCACGCAGTCTTCAAGTGGTTATGTGTGACATTACTTCGGTTTTGTTCCTTTTTGGTTGACTTTAATGCGCAGTTTCTGCTAGTCTAAAAGCTCAAGCTTTGGGAGNACAGTCTTCAAGTGGTTTTGTTCCTTTTTGGTTGACTTTAATGTGCAGTTTCTGCTAGTCTAAAAGCTCAAGCTTTGGGAGAGTTCAACTGAAGCATATGTGCCATTAGCNGTTTCACGCAGTCTTCAAGTGGTTATGTGTGACATTACTTCGGTTTTGTTACTTTTTGGTTGACTTTAATGCGCAGTTTCTGCTAGTCTAAAAGCTCAAGCTTTGGGAGAGTTCAACTGAAGCATATGTGCCATTAGCCACTAGTCTCATAGTGGAAACCCAACTTTNGCAGTCTTCAAGTGGTTATGTGTGACATTACTTCGGTTTTGTTCCTTTTTGGTTGACTTTAATGCGCAGTTTCTGCTAGTCTAAAAGCTCAAGCTTTGGGAGAGTTCAACTGAAGCATATGTGCCATTAGCCACTAGTCTCATAGTGGAAACCCAACTTTGATATCAGGTTAACAACTGGGGGGCATCAAAGGTTAAGTTTGATGGATGGCGGTGTAATTATGGTTCATACCAAAGTTGTCAAAATGTGTATCGCAACGCGTATCATTTTTAAAAAATAATGTATCGTGTGTCATAAGATATACTCAATTGAAATATATATATACACATACACATACCTAAAAATGTGTAAATATATAGTGTCCCAAGTAATATTAATACTATTTCAACTCCCTAAACATTTTTGTGCGATGTGTGTTTTTGATGGAGTTTGAAAGAGAGAAAAGTTTGTCTTCACGGCAACTATCAAAACGTAGCTAGAGTGTTGTCTGTTTGAAAGGAAGAAAAAGAATACGATTTTGGAGAAAGAAAAACGGAGTCATAGGGGAAGACGGTGATCCGCTTAGTTTGTTTGTGATCAAACCAAAAAAGAAAAAAATAACATATATGAAACAACGTCGTTCCAATGTATAGATTAAAAAATTAAAAAAAAATGATGTTGTGAGTATTATTTTTTTATTGTATCGAAACGTATCGTAAAATACAGTAGAAAAATGAAACGTATTGGTGGAATATTGTATGGAGACATATTGTAACATACATATCNATACAGTGGAAAAATGAAACGTATTGGTGGAATATTGTATGGAGACATATTGTAACATACATATCATGTATTGTAAGATAAGATACTGACAACTATGGTTTATACTATGAACTTCATAGTATTGGCCGATACCGGTACTTGATATCCGAGACCTATACACAGTTAAATAGTAAATTGGTATTAGGGTTAGAGAAAGAAAGATAGAATGAGAGAAAGAAAGGTAATAATCAGTTGTGTAGGCTATGTTACTCTACACTCTCTTATTTATAGTAAACAGATATTATAGGAATTATAATATTACCCAACACTTCTAATAATATAAATAAGAACTCTAACATACACATTTAGTGTAAAAAACAAGTCTCACTCGACTCAGCCGAGTCATCTTTGAGCTAACTATGAGTCTCGATGTGGCCTGAATATCTCGACATGTTGAACTTGTTCTTCTATCTAGCATTGCGCAATGCCACAATAGATGAGCCTCAGTGCCCTCCAAGAGGAAGGTTGTACAATAGCCTTGAATTATTGTACAAGAGGAAGGTTGTGACCTTAGCTACCGTTAAATAGAACACAAAAAGCAATTATTTGTGTTTTCTATNTTAACTGTGAGCCTCGATGTGGCCTGAATATCTCGACATGTTGAACTTGTTCTTCTATCTAGCATTGCGCAATGCCACGACAGATGAGCCTCAGTGCCCTCCAAGAGGAAGGTTGTACAATAGCCTTGAATTATTGTNAAACAGTATTTGGAACTATTACCGGTCTTGAACTGCTTAATTTTGTTTATCCGTTAATCGCGATGTCTATTAAACCGCTATGTACTCTAGAAAAAATATGACTTAGGTATTCATAAATTTCAACGATGTCTGTTGCTTGAACTGCTCAAAAACACTTGTGCTAGCTTGACAGAAAGGGATGGATTGCCAAGATGAAGCCAATCTCTGGCAACTGTCTGATGAATGTTCAAGTTTTATCGCATTCATGACGGCCATAAATTGAGTCAAGTCTCTGAGTACTGAGATATCACACATGGAAGTCTTACATGGAAGGGGAAAAGAAAAATATTATGTAAAAATCTCTATATCCTATAAACAAATTTACATTTGGTGGAGACTTAAGTTTTTAGATCAGTTTGAGTTTTTACATATATGGGACGATGTTTTCCTTCATGGCCTCCCAGCCTCCACCCTTAAGTGTTTTTTAACTACGACTATGGTGAATGGTTCGCAATAACTCCGGGCATGAGAAAAATGAAAAATAAATTGTTTAAATTACACCTTAGATGAGTTTATTATAATTATGATTGGGTAAAATATTATAGTTTTCTAAACTATCATTCTAGTGACACATTCGGTTTTCTATTGATTGGAGTGAGTAGTTGTCAGTATAAATATTATATTTAGGCTTACATACCATGTGCATGGGTGTTGACAAGAGAGGAGTGGGAGAAGAACATAAGATATAGGCAGAGTGTTTGTGAAACCATGGGAGAGAGAGAGATTTGTTTGAGATGAATATCATAAAGTGAAATCACAATGGAGATCAAAATTGAATTATCAAAAAAAAAAAAAAAAAATTTTGAATTGTTTGAGCTTTTAAATCAAAATTGGGCTAATGTCATTTTATGAAAGATGCTTTGATTTTTAATTTATACCCTCAAATATTAAAAATTTTAATTTATATTCTTTTTTTTGTCATATTAATTTGTACCCCTAATGTTATGAATTAATAGAAATGTTGACATTGCCCAATTTACTGTTAAATTTTTCATCATAAATTGAAGCACGTGAGTTGTAAGTGCTTCAGTCATATGCTTATATACGAATTCATAGACTGTTGGCGTCTCATGTGAGTTGCACATCATAGACTTAGCTATTGTTTGATAAATGAAAATTTATTTTTTGATACGTAAAACGATGTTAAATTGTTCGCAAGTGAAGATATGCAGTAATAAACACACCTCATTCTCGTACTCGAAATATTTTTAATTTACATGTTTTAATTTATGATAGAGAATTGAACAATAGTATGAGCGAAGTACACGTTACTATTAATTCGTGACATAAGAGTGAAAATTAAAATTTTTAATGTTAAGAGAATACAAATTAAAAATTAAATATTTTTCGGCGGACAAAGTGAGGTTAGCCAATCAAAATTAGATTAGTTTATAGTTCTGACCTATCTAACTAACTTTTAAGTGTATAGTTGGGTTCTAGCAAGATGCATACTGAACCAGAGTTCACCTGTTTCAGGTGGGTTCTCTCTCTCTCTCTCTCTCTCTCTCAGGTCCTAAAAAACAAATCCCACATCAATGAAGGGTCAAATCTTTTTTTTATTTCATCTCCAGAACCTTAAATTTCAACCCCTTTTTTCGATACCCACCACTTCAACTCCATATCATCACCTGCAAATTTGCAGGATCCGATGGAACAAAATCGGCGCGTACCCTTTCCACCTCAAACAAGGCGTGCGGACTCCGGCGCCGGATCAAAGGCTTGGCTCGTTGTCTCAGAGCACGGAAGCTCGAATGTCGATCTCGGAAAAAATCAGATTATGCGCCTGACTGGAGTCTCGGCCCACGACTTGAGGGTCCTTGAGCCGGAGCTTGCGTACCCTTCGACGATACTTTGCAGAGAGAAGGCAATTGTTGTCAACTTGGAGCATATCAGAGCAATCATAACGGCCAATGAAGTCTTTGTTCCGAATCCGATGGACCCAACTCTTGAATCTTTTGTTTGGGATCTCAAATGCAAGCTTTCGGTTGTGAGTGTTTTGTTATGTTGTTTTTCAATAGTATTGGATGAACATGTGAAAACTTTTTGTCCAATGGGCAAAGTCAATCCATATTGCATAGAAAAATAAAATCACGATGTGGTATACTTGAACCATCGAAGAAGGAACAATTGTTAATAGAGAAGTATCATTGATTATGTTGTTAATTATGTGAAGGCTACCATGGAAAGTTGTAAGGCTATGGAGGAATCACCCTCTACTATCTTACCGGAGACAGGAGATAGTAATCCTAGAACTCCAACAGAGGGACCAAATGCGGGCAATTCAAAGCCATTACCTTTTGAGTTTAGAGCTCTTGAAATATGCCTAGAGTCTGTGTGCAACATCCTTGAATCCGAGGTATGTCACTGGCATTCAAGTTTATGGTTATTGTTTGACTTGTTCAAACATGTTTTAACTGTAGTTTGTGTACTGCATGCATTTGCAACATGATGCATATTTTCAGAATGTGACCCAGTGATTACCTTTGAGTCATTGTACATTTAAACTTGATGGCTATTGTATTCTTCATGCCTACTGTTATTTTTTTGTAGTTTTTTTTTTTTATCTTAATATATTGTGTGCTTATCGTTGCTTTTGTAATTTTATGAACACATTTTTAAGGCTGGGCAATAGACATTTTGTTGCAACGCTAGCAGGCCTTATCGACCACCACACCTTAAAAAATCTTATGGATGCTTCCCTATGATTAGACTAATATTTATGAGATTTAATCTTTTAGAAAGCATGCATCACGTATGTAATACTAACACTGTGGAATGACCTTTTCAATTTGTTGCCCTGTTGATAGTTTATTGACATGAACACGTTTCACGCAGTCTTCAAGTGGTTATGTGTGACATTACTTCGGTTTTGTTCCTTTTTGGTTGACTTTAATGCGCAGTTTCTGCTAGTCTAAAAGCTCAAGCTTTGGGAGAGTTCAACTGAAGCATATGTGCCATTAGCCACTAGTCTCATAGTGGAAACCCAACTTTGATATCAGGTTAACAACTGGGGGGCATCAAAGGTTAAGTTTGATGGATGGCGGTGTAATTATGGTTCATACCAAGGTTGTCAAAATGTGTATCGCAACGCGTATCATTTTTAAAAAATAATGTATCGTGTGTCATAAGATATACTCAATTGAAATATATATATACACATACACATACCTAAAAATGTGTAAATATATAGTGTCCCAAGTAATATTAATACTATTTCAACTCCCTAAACATTTTTGTGCGATGTGTGTTTTTGATGGAGTTTGAAAGAGAGAAAAGTTTGTCTTCACGACAACTATCAAAACGTTGCTAGAGTGTTGTCTGTTTGAAAGGAAGAAAAAGAATACGATTTTGGAGAAAGAAAAACGGAGTCATAGGGGAAGACGGTGATCCGCTTAGTTTGTTTGTGATCAAACCAAAAAAGAAAAAAATAACATATATGAAACAACGTCGTTCCAATGTATAGATTAAAAATTTAAAAAAATGATGTTGTGAGTATTATTTTTTTATTGTATCGAAACGTATCGTAAAATACAGTGGAAAAATGAAACGTATTGGTGGAATATTGTATGGAGACATATTGTAACATACATATCATGTATTGTAAGATAAGATACTGACAACTATGGTTTATACTATGAACTTCATAGTATTGGCCGATACCGGTACTTGATATCCGAGACCTATACACAGTTAAATAGTAAATTGGTATTAGGGTTAGAGAAAGAAAGATAGAATGAGAGAAAGAAAGGTAATAATCAGTTGTGTAGGCTATGTTACTCTACACTCTCTTATTTATAGTAAACAGATATTATAGGAATTATAATATTACCCAACACTTCTAATAATATAAATAAGAACTCTAACATACACATTTAGTGTAAAAAACAAGTCTCACTCGACTCAGCCGAGTCATCTTTGAGCTAACTATGAGTCTCGATGTGGCCTGAATATCTCGACATGTTGAACTTGTTCTTCTATCTAGCATTGCGCAATGCCACAATAGATGAGCCTCAGTGCCCTCCAAGAGGAAGGTTGTACAATAGCCTTGAATTATTGTACAAGAGGAAGGTTGTGACCTTAGCTACCGTTAAATAGAACACAAAAAGCAATTATTTGTGTTTTCTATGTTCTTGTAAAAGAAGAGTCATTCCATGCTCGTCAAGAAAACACATTGTTCTTAGAATGTCTAGGTTAATTAAGGACCTATTCTCTCATAGATGGTGTTTTCCACCTTAGAAGAGTTATTGTTTTTCCAATGGTGTTGGAACAAATGCATCTTGAAGTATGCATTCTTGCTCCTCTTTAAGTAGTGTTGGTTGTGTAATTTTTGGATTACCATATGTTTTTGCTGATTTATACAGACTTCCACGCTGGAGAAAGAGGCATATCCAGCTTTAGATCAATTATCCGCTAAAACCAATGCAGATAACCTACAACGTGTGAGGCTTATAAAAGGTCGTATGGTTGCTCTGTCTGGACGTGTTCAGAAGGTAATAGTAATCTCATTATTGGCTAATAACATTACCTATCTGTGGAGTGATTTACTTGGTACAAGGATAAGTAAAACTAATTTATTGATCTTTCCTAGTTTGCTACAAGTATTGACATTTTATAGTTTTGTTATTTGGAGAGATGGTGATGTCAACTTTTTCACTTTCATCCTTTAGTTCCTCACATGCCAATGGTACATGCATTTACAACTCAGAGACCTGCACAACAAACTTTAACTGTCCAAAATGTAAGCCAAAGAGGGGAAGAAAAGAAGGAAAGATAGCGCTAGTCGAATTATATTAATCTGGTACTAGTAATTGACATCTAACGTATCTCTACGATATTTTGGTCAGGTGCTTCAATTAAAATTAAAATTATCACAACGAAGAATATGTATTTTTAACTGAATTCTCTATCATAATATTCTTCGAGCACTGGTCAGATATAGTACCTAATTTAGTTACTTAGATAAAATTGAGAGTGGAGGCTTAATGAAACTTAAAGACATGAAAACTAAAGAGTAATTCTGAACCAATGCACAACCTGAGCAATGACCCTTTTTTCTGAACTAGAGTAATGGACTTAATGACTGCGAATTAAGCCTCACTCATAAAAATTCATTCAAAGTCTGTGTATGTGATCTGCATGCGCAATTTGCACAGAGAACCTCAAGAAAAACAACATGGCAACAATAATACAAAAGCTCGGCCAGGATTGAAATTGGGGTGTCTATGTGATCATTGTTTTGTTATTCTATATGGCAACATTGTTAGAACATCCTTATGAATGACTTATTTAATATTCTTTTTGTCTTCTCTTATCCTTTTTCCTTGTTCTTTCTCTGATTAAACATTTTGTACCAATAGTACTGAAGGACTGATGAAATGCATTTATTTCAAATTTTTTTCTATTCCGATTCTGAATCATGAGTCTTTCTCATAAAACTGATGAAAACAGTGGCGTAGCCTTACCCCTAGTTTTCAGATCAAGGTGTTACGTATAACACAAATTTCAACTAGAACACAACGATGTAAGTGTTAACTTAAACTAACTTGGAGTTGCTTGCATGTATTTAGTTGTGTATTCTATCTTGAGCCATGATTCATGTTTTGTTTGTACCTTCCCTTGCTCTTTTTCCTCCAAACTTGTGTGCCCATCAAGCACTTGGATTGTTATGAATTGATTGAAGTTATCCTATAATGCTACATGTTTCTCAGGTGAGAGATGAGCTTGAACATTTATTGGATGATGATGGGGAGATGGCTGAGATGTATTTGACTAATAAACTTGCCAGTCTAGAATCTGAAGGTTTTTTCCCAGGTGATGAGCCACAGAATGATGCTAATGCATTTGAATTAGATGACGTGAGGTAAGTGAAAACATTTTGGTGTCATTTCTTTTCTTCAATGCATCTAAAAGTTTGCTTATTGTTTACTGTTTACTTTTTTTTTTAAACAAGAAAAGGCTATTTCATTTCATTCAAACAGAAGACGGATTACAATCAAAAATTAAAATAGTTTACTGTTTATTTGATCAATGAATTTGTACTTCGGTCTCAATTATCACGATATTGCCATACAGATTGCCAGACTAGGCATAATTGAAAAGGCTTAAATTGTCAATAATAAATATTCACTGTGAGTCAAAGAAAAAATTGGCACTGTTCTAGCTTTTGGCAGGATTTTTAATTTTTTATGAACTATGAGTGACATGGCACAACTGGTTTGATCATAAATAAAGTATTCATTTCTTATATTTAGTTAGTTTACTCTGGAATTATATAGGATTTATATTTCATGATGCAAACTGAGTTTCATAGTTTGGTTAATGATCGAAGGCCCCTTGAAACAAAATACAGCTGGAAAATCATGACTGACTTGACTTGATTAATATTGATCAGAATAAGGTTTCCTTGTCAGAAACTCTTGAGGTCTGAATTTAAGATTTTGTTTGAATCCAGTGTCTTGCCAGATAAGGATTATGAAATCTCTGTTTAGTTCTTTTAACCATGCTAAGCAATGAAATTTAACAATTATTTTGGTACCATTTAGATTTCTGAGTTGATGTGTCATGCTTCTTGGTTTTCACATTCAGCGACGAGGACATTAGTGACAAAAGTCGCACCGCACCTGTCAGAAGTCATAGGCCAAATATTGAAGAGGAGTTGGAGTCACTATTGGGAGCATACTTCATGCAAATAGAGGAAATTTTAAACAAGCTATTCACTGTATGTTGTACTTTCCTTTAATATAACTTTTGCCATAATCATGAGATAATTTACCCCATTAGTTAGATGTATATATAAATTTGCAAATTTCTAAAAGGTGTGAAACTCAGTCCTCAAGGCGAGGCCTAAGGTAAGGCTTCATGAGTCTTTGTCATCAAACACACCATTCGTCTTCAGCCGTGCAAATATGAGATTCATGTCATACAATCGAGGCATCTTTTTCCCTTATTAATATGATTTGTGGATACCAAGATGCACCTTTTGCAATCTCCTCAACATATAGGCACCGAATCACACTGAACTAGAAAAACAGCCTTCTGAAAATCATTTTACTTCCGTGGGTTGACTTCTCTGAATATAGTGCTTTGTCGAACTAGGAGAAAAGTTTACACCCACAGTAACTCATGGGACTCATATTATTCCCCCAATTCTAGTAGTCTCATCTCCTACTTATACAATTTTTGAGCGTGGAAATTTAGACAAGTATTGGATTCTGATAAATTTTAACCACATTTTCTTGATTTTCCTATATGCATTTTTTTAAGCTAGAATAATGCTCAGATTTGAACACAGGATTTCATTTCTATATTGTTGTGGAGATTAATGTGAAGGTCATTAAATTAGACTTCTTTATACCATGTTAAACATATTGGATAGTTCTATCTTTATTTGTCCAAAGTCTAAACACTGCCTAGGGATTCTTAGCAATTATACAATATAATTTTTTTATTTCTGTTATGTTAAAAAGATTAGCATATCATCGTTCTCATTTCTCAACAAACCCTGCCAGGATATTGTTCATGAGTTGGTTATTAGTCTGCTAACTTTGGCAAATTTAGTAAGATCTAAACATTGTTAACTTCTTCCCTATGTTCAGCAAGAATGAATGCTACCGATGTTTCTTCTTTCAATCTGACTTCTTTGGTCCCACAGATGCGGGAATATGTCCATGATACAGAGGACTACATCAACATTATTCTGGACGACAAACAGAACCAGCTACTGCAAATGGGCGTTATTGTTAGCACATTAGTGTTGATTATGAATCTTGGCATTGTGACTGATGGGGTAATGAACATGAACATCCACATCGCTCTCTTTGATCCTGGAAAATATTTGCGGTGGTATGAAGCTTCTGCTGGTATTGTTTGTGGTTGCTCAACCATATTTCTTTTAGCCATCATGTTGGGTAAGAAAAAGGGATTGTTTGGTTGATGAAATTTTGCTCTTGTGAATGTCAGAACAGAAGTAAATAGTATCTGTTATGAACATGATGCTTGGAAATATATCGATGTAATATTAAGAATGTATGTTTCGCATTCTTTCCTACATGAAACAAAGATATAAACTGGATAAATAAAAATGAAAAAATGTTTCAAATACATTACAATTATAAGCTTTCTTCTACATTATTGCACCTAGGGGGTGGTAAACAAGGTGAAGGAATGAGTTCGAACTCGAACCTAACGAGTTTGTTTTTAAAAAAGAGTTTAAAAATGTGTTTAAATTTGATTCGTTTTTTATATAAATGAGTTTGAGTCGAGTCTAAAACAAGCCGAGTCCATAGTTCGACTATTTTATAAATAAACAATTTAAAAAATGTGCCGAACTTAAACGAGTTTAAAAAATTGTTTGAGCTTGACTGCTCTTTCAAATTGGTCCTCCAAATGAGACCCAATTATTTTTAAGAAAGGGAATCATCCAACTTGAATTCTTTGGACTCTTGATTGTAATGTATATTTCAAATGCTTTCAATTATCTGCAAACCATGAAAAATATTTATAACTATTATAAATGAGTCAAGATCGTATCCGTAACCTTGAACTTTAAGTTACTTGGGCTCAACTTGAAATATTAGAAGAGCTCAAAAATTTAATCATGTTTGACAATTTTTGTAATTCGAACAGACTTGAACAATCTAAAATTTAGTCCATCCCTAATAGTGGGATACAAGATTTGTAAATGATTCAATCTCTTAGATTAGGAGGTTTACAAATCTTGTATTTTTAAATACTTAGTATATTGATTATAATGTTAATTGTACAGAAAGTCCTTAAAGTATTGAGTTTTTACTATTTTGATTCCCAATATTTCAATTGCATTATTTTAGTCCCTCAAATAATGAATATGTTTTTATGTAGTCTCTCAAGCAGACAACACTTAAATTACTAACGATTTTTAATCATAAATGTCATGTGACATTTTAAATATGGATAAAAAAATAATTTAGATAGTTCTTGAACAAATTCTACACAAATTTTAGTCAAATAGCTATTCAAATAACACTTTTTTTGTCAAGAGCTAGCCAACACATTTTTTTGTTAATATTTAGGTATCGCGTGACAAGTTTATGATAAAAAATCATTAACAATTTAGATATTATTTGCTTGAAGAACTACATAGAAACATATTTAATATTTCATGGATTAAAATGATATAATTGAAATATTAGATATCAAAATGAGATAAATTTCATATTTTATAGACCTCTAATGCAATTAGTCATTCAATGATCAAAATGATGCAATTGAAATATTGGATATCAAAATGAGACAAACTTCATACTTTGTGGATCTTTAGTGCAATTAGCACTTGATTATATACACACACAATGTCACCGCCACACATTGGCCAGACTTTTTCAGCACATTTAATCTGCTCAACAATACTATAGTAAATAAGATTTTTTATTAAATTTTTCATCTGAAGTGACGTGACACAGTTTTATCATCACAATACTTAATAATGGATATTATATCACATCACTTGGAATAAAAAACTTAGTAAGTATAACATTACTAAAACATCGATTATCTTTCAATCTTGTGCAAAACCGAGAGGGTTGGTTTTTTTAATTTCCCTAATAGGGAAAAAATATTGCGTGTAATTTTTACACCATATTAACAGTGTCACATGGTATAACAATTCACTAGTAAGTTGACAAATTAGCAAATTAGCCCTTCTTGCACGAGAAAATATTCATTATAACAATGATATCATATGACAGTGTGATATGGTATCACCAACTAATAATAAAATTTTAAATAAGCAAATGGACTCCATAAAAATTAATAACTAATCTGTCACGTAATCAAATAACTCTTTATTCTTCTTTCATGTAAGCACAAGTGAGATTCACGTTACCTACTTAGAATTTTATTATCAATTGATGATATCATGTCAGTGATCATCGTTGTATTCACTATATACTCCTCCTGCACCAAGTATATCATATATATATATATAGGAGAATATGTACTCTCTTTGTACTCTTTTTGTTCTTGTTATACATCGTTGATCTTATTTTATAGTTTTTGTTCTTTTCTTATTCGATGATTACACAATATCACCCACATCAAATATTTACTATATACTCTTTCTGCACCAGGCATAGGAGAATGCGTACTCTTTTTGTACTTTTTTTATTTTTATTATATATCGTTTACCTTATTTTATTCTTTTTATTATTTTCTTATTTGATGATTATTATGCAATGTCACCCACGTCCAATATATATTATATACTCCTCCTGCACTAGGTTTATCATAGATATTGGAGAATATGTACTTTTTTTTGTTCTTATTATACCCCGTTGACCATATTTTATTATTTTTATTCTTTTTTTATTTGATGATTATGCAATGTCACCCACGTCCAATATTTAGGACCTTCCACCTAGAACTTTTCCCACGCCCATTTGAGTTTTAAAAAATCGTTGATTATACACTTTTCTGAGGGAGGGAAGGAGAATAACAGTCTAACTGGAACAGGTGAACTTGGTTTCAGTATCCATCTCTCTCTCTCTCTCATGTCATATTCTAAACAAATGAAGGACCAAATCTGTCTTAATTTAATCTCCAAAACCCTAAACTTCAACCCCATTTTTCAACTACCACCACTCCAAATCATCGCTTGCAAACATGCAAGATCCAGTTGAGCTCAATCGAAGCATACCCTTTCCGATTCAGGCGAGGCGTAAAAAGGCATGGCTGATTGTGCCAGAAAACGGAGACTCGAATATCGAGGATCTCGGAAAACATCTGATTATGCGCCGGACAGGAATCTCGGCCCACGATTTGAGGGTTCTTGACCCGGATCTTTCTTACACTTCTACGATACTTCGTAGAGAGAGGGCAATTGTTGTGAGGTTGGAGCATATCAAAGCAATCATAACGGCGGCTGAAATTCTTGTTCCCAATCCGATCGACCCAACTCTTGAATCTTTTGTTTGGAATCTCAAATGCAGCCTTTTGGGTCTTGAAGGAACTGTGAGTATTTTGATTATTTTTTTTTTCCAATGAAGATGAACTTTCAATACAGTAATTACAGTTGCTTGTGAATTTTTTTTTCTTTTTTTATAGCGGTAAAATTTAGGGTTTGTAGAAATAACATTCAATAATATTACTTTGACCTAATTTGTTTACTCAATTTATTGGTCGGAGAGAAGTACATTCAGACTTTTCGAGGTTTGTCACTTAATCACTCAGACCCCTGACATTTAAAATATTATATACAAACCTCCTGAAGTTTGTACTCGTGTAATACTTATATTCTTGTTTTAAATATATCAGTTAATAAATTACACATAAACTACCCTAAAGTTTGTGGGTATATAATACTTAGACTCTTTAAGTTTAAAATATTATATTTAGACAAAAAATAGTCCAATCAAATTTAAAATATTAAATATTTTAAATTTTACAACCAAAATTCATGTTATATTGTATTATTTATTGAAATAAAATTTAAAAAAAAAAATTAATTTAAAAAAAAAAATCATAATTAGTATACAATTATATTATTTATTGAAATAAAATTAAAAAATCAAACAATGAGTTTAAGTCATTCATAATAGAACATGAATTTTACGTTCAATATTCATGTTCTATTATGTTATTTATTGAAATAAAATTAAAAATAAAAATTTATTTTTTCAAAAAAAAACATAGTTAGTATATATTTATACTGTCTATTAAAATAAAACTAAAAAATTAAAAAATGAATCAAACAGTAATTGACACAATATCTTTTAGATTTAATTGGAGTAGTTTGATATTTTAATTTAGTCGTTTAAACGACTAAATTAAATTCTAATAGACAATATAATTGGAAAAAAAAAAAAGCCAAAACAGTTTTTGTTTTCATTTTTCTTTTGAAATTGAAAACTGAAAATGTTACCAAATGCTAAATTAGCTAATTAATTCTACTTAGAAACAGGAGGTCACAATTTGGTGTCAGTTAAGAATGAGCAATTGTGAACAAGCAATAGGGAAATATAATTGATTTTTGTTGTTATTTATATGAAGGCTACAAAGGGAAAGCACAAGGCTATGGAGGAATCGCCCTCTGATATGCTACTAGAGGCGAGAGACAGTAGTCCAAAAACTCCGCTGGAGGTTCCAAATACGGGCACTTCAAAGCCATTACCTTTTGAGTTTAGAGCTCTTGAAATATGTCTGGATTCTGTCTGCAAGAACCTTGAATCCGAGGTATGACACTAGCATGCAAGTTAATAATTATTGATGGGTTCTTTGGAAGTTGATATACTTAATTAGATTTATTTGATAAAAAATACATAAAACAAAATATATTGAGAAAAAAATTCACAGTTGAGATATAAAAGACGTAAATGCCCATTTTAGGGTCATTTAATTTAAAATTTGTTTTCTTTAATACACTTTGATTCATATATATTTGGTAATACATATAAATACGTATTTAATGCACCTTGATTCATATGTATTTGTTAATACATGTAAATATATGCGTGTGTATATATACTTTTTGTTAAATCTCTTATCTAAATTTTGAAGTATCTTTAATGCACTTTAATTCATGCATATTTTTTTTTTTTTGAAAAGTGATTGTGTTTTCAAATTATATTTAATGTACCTTGATTCATGCATTTTTTTTTTTGAAAAATGATTTTATTTTTAAATTAAATTAATATCCAAATAATATAATAGTGTAACAATAACAATGTAACAAATACACTGTAACAAAAACAGTGTTCCGTAGTTTTGTGTATGTGGTAACAAATTCAAAACGGAGATAAATTATTTTGAATAAAATTATATGAAACTACATGTTTGACAAAATGTAATAGTACAATATTTTGTGTAAATAGTTTGTTACATTGTTATTATTATACTGTTACACTGTTATTGTTACACTATTACACTATTCGGATATTATTTTAATTTGAAAATAATATCACTTTCAAAAAAAAAATGCATGAATCAAAGTGCATTAAAAGATAATTCAAAATTCAGATAAGAGATTTAACAATAAATATATACATACATACATACATAAGTACTTATATAAGTGTGAATGTGTGTGTGTGTATATATATATATGTGTGTGTGTGTGTGTGTGTATTAAAGTTCTTCCATAAAACTAGGAGATGTTTAATGCATCACTTTCCAAAGAAAAGTGGTGCATTAAATACATATGGATCAATAGAGGGAAAAAATATCACAAAAAAATTAGTAAAATTCAAATAATATACTTAGATACAAATAAATATCAAAATTAAGGATTTAATTAGCTAACATTTTTTTTTATGTATTTTTTTACGATTAAGTCTAATTTAGTGTATCTTCTTCTAATTTTCCCATTTTTGATTGGTCTGTTCAAAAAGGTATTTTTTCCCTGTAGCCTGCCCATAACTGGGTGCACTCACTGCATATTGTATATTTGAAGAATGTAACTTGCCAATAATGTAGAGTTAATCCACCTTTAAACTTGATGAACCTAAAAGTCCTTGTGCCTTTAAACTCGATGGCTGTTTGTTATACTTTGTGTGAACCACTACGATTCTTAACGACAATGCTTTTTATATTTCAGATATCATTTGGCGATGTCGCCCACTTCTATAATAAAACAAAAATATCTAAGTCAAAACCTTATTAAAGTTGATAGCTTAACAACAGATAAAAACTGATTACAGTTAAACACAGATCCTAATACATAAATTATTACAACCTCAAGTGTATACATATCAAAAAGATTAATGATATATAAATTCCTGTCTGATAACTTCTTGTTCTTAAGATAATCCTTGACATTTATGGTATTTTTTGAAATTAATAATCTAACTAATTTAGGAGTTTCATTAAAAATATTATATTTATCAACTCCATTATTCTGATATTTTCAAACTCAGAAATAGCTTGATGATAGAATACGTTTTTAGGCCTTTTACTTCATTTTGTCCATTTTTTTGGACCAAAACAGAAAGCTAATATTCTCTTGATATGAAAATTGCACCCTTTTCTTATTATTGTAAATTTAGTTTCACTTTGAGATGCAACATTGAGGATATAGGACTACACTATTACTAGATTTTTTTCCTACCTATTTAGGGTTGCAACCATAAAAAGTGTTCATCATTCAAATTGGTTGCAAGCTATCTTTAATAAACATGGATGGAGATGACTTTTTTAGTACATTTGCTTTCTCTAGACATCATTCGAGTCGTAATACCTTTTTTCGGACAAGAGACAAGAGATATATGTGAGTGAAAGAGTTACTCCAACTAAGAGTAGAGCTTCGTATATATAGTCAAATAATAATACAAATTGTGTTCTAGGCAAAATATAAAGTCATAGTAAGGGTTAAAAAGGGAAAAGAAACTCTAATAAACTAGACTATATTCCAACACTCCACCTCAAGGTAGGCATAAAAATATCAACTAAGTTAAGCTTGAAAACGGAGTCCCAAAGAATGGATAGAGTGACAGGTTTGGTGAAAATATCCGCAACCTGATCACTAGTTCCCACAAACAATGGAGTCACAATACCACAACGAACTTTCTCCTGAAGAAAGTGAACATCGATCTCTATATGCTTCGTCCTCTCGTGTAATATAGAGTCAAAAGCAAGCTGAATAATAGATCGATTATTACAATATAATGTAGATGAAGAAGTCACTAGAAATCCCAACTCGCCAAGAATCGGTCGTAGCCAGATAATCTCACATGTGTCAAATGTCAATGCTCGATACTATGTCTCTACTGACGAATGAGAGATAATTACCTGCTTCTTGCTCTTCCAAGTGATAAGATGAGTCCCTCGAAAAGCATAGAAGCCCGTAGTAGATCGATCTTCACATGCTTTCTCATAATCTGAATCTGAATAACAGATTAGAGAGCCAGTTTGAGATCCTGATGCATAAAATAATCCAATCCCAGGACAAGACTTGAGGTACCAAAGAATATGATGAACTGCATCAAGATGAGGTTGACACGACCTGTGCATAAACTGACTAACTCGACTGACAGTGAATGAAATGTCTGGCCTAGTGTTGACTAGGTAGATAAGTCTATCTACCAACCTCTGATAAACAATCGGATCTTTTAGCTCCTCACCTTCAGCAGTAAGCTTCAGGTTTGGAATCATGGGTGATGATGTCGGTTTGCACCTCGGCATCCCAATGTCTGAGAGAAGATTCAGAATATACTTTCTCTGAGAAAGAACAATACCCTTGCTGCTACGAGCAACCTCAATCCCAAGAAAAAATCACAAAACTTCAAGATCCTTCACATCGAAAGCCTTCCCAAGGTCTATTTTAACCTGCACAATCCCAGAAACATCATCTCCAGTAATAATAATATCATCAACATATACCAAAAAGATGACACACTGTCCAAAAGTATTCCGTCGAATGAAGGAAGCATGATCAAAATGACATTTGGTGAATCCTAAATGTACAACTACATCACTAAAGCAAGAGAACCAGGCTCGTGGTGACTATTTCAGTCCATAGAGAGACTTACACAGTCGACATACTTTTCTATCATATTCTCCCTCACCACGAAAGTCCGGTGTTGCATCCATATAAATAATCTCATTCAGATCACCATGAAGAAATACACTCTTCACACCCAACTGATGAAAAAGTCAAGAATACTCCGTAGACAGAGAAATAATTAATCGAATAGTAGTCAATTTTGCCACGGGGACAAAGGTAACACCAAAATCACGACCTGGTACCTGAGTAAAGCCCTTCGCCACAAGTTTAGCCTTGTGACGATCAATAGTACCATCCGCAAGAAACTTCAGGGTGTAAATCTAATGACATCCAACAAGCTTCACCCCTAAAGGTAAAGAGACAAGATCCAACGTATGATTATGCTGAAGAGCGTCCATCTTCGTCTGTATGGCAAGAATCCACTAGGGCTCCTGTATAGCCTCTAAAATAGAGCAAGAAATCGGTTCATCTGATCAGACCATACTATAAGCTCAAAATATAGGAGAAAGATCACCATAAGAAACATAAGCAGAGATCGGATATAAAGTCCGGGTAGTCCAACCATAACGAACAACTGGACGGCGATCACACTGTGGATAACGACGCCCTAAATCATCATCCTCCACTGACACTGTCTCATTTGGGAAAGTAACTGGCTTAGTACTTGTAATCTTATTAGTACTAACAACAGGTGTATCAATATGCTCAACGAACTGAGAAGTATTATTTGCATCGCCTGAGGTAGAGAGGACATCAGCAGAGGGATGAGAGCTAGGGCGACGAACATAAACCTGCAAAGGAAGAGAGACTGGTGACTCTGGTGGAGGAGAGACTGATGACTCTGTAGTGATAGTGTCCAATGACTCTGGCTCTTGTGGTAACAGAAAATCAATAAGAGTATCATCAACTGGAGGAGTAGACACAGGAGTGGAAGAAAAATAAGAAATATGTTCAAGAAAGGTAACATCTAGACTGTGATACATACAACGCCTGATAAGGTCATAACACTGATATCCCTTAGACTGATGACAATAGCCAACAAAGACACAACGAATTGCTTTATCATCCAGCTTATGACGAGTAGGAGATCAATCCTAAACAAAACATGTGCAGCCAAAAACACAAGGGGGGACCGAAAAAAGTGTCTGCTTAGGGAATAAGACCTATAAGGGAGCCCTATGCTGAAGAACATAACTCAGTGTACAATTACACAAAAAAGTAGAAAATGCCAATAAGATTTTGGCACCCCTATTCCTCTAAGCATACAACGTATCATCCCTATTAGACTCATATTTTTCCTTTTCGCAACTCCATTTTGCTCAGAAGTATATAGACAAGTGAGTTGCTGAAGGATACCCTGAGCAACTTAGGCATCAAACACATATTTTTTGGCATTATCCGAACGAAGAACATGAACAATGACATTAAATTATGTCTTAATCATCTGGAGAAACTGAGTGATGATAGGGAGTACATCAGACTTCCTATGTAAAAAATATATCTAAGTACAATGAGTATGGACATCTATAAATGTCATATAGTATCGAGCACCTAACAGAGCAGTAACAGGAGAGGGTTCTCAAATATCAGAGTGTATTAGGTCAATGCCCTGACAAGCAGTAATAGAAGAAGGTCCCCAAATATTATAGTATATTAAGTCAAATGGCTTGGGTGATTGATGCATGCAAGGAATATAACTAGTTCGAACATGTTTCGATAGAGAACATATAACACAGTCAAGTTTACCACCAACACAAACATTGTTCAAAACAGGAAATAACATACATAAATATTTAAAATTTGTATGCCCAAAGCGGTCATGCCACGACTGAACAGTTTGTGATGAAAAATCATAACGACAAGTACTAGGCAAAATACTAGCATGTAAGTTAGGAACAGATAAAAACAAAGCAGATGCAGATGATGGAGGTGGAAGAACTGGTGAAATTGGAGGTGGATCGCCTAGATAATACAATCCATCTCTCTCATGTCCCTTGATAATAATTCTCTTGGTACTCAGGTACTGCAAATAACACGAATCAGATAAAAACACAACCGCACAGTGAAAATCTCTAGATAACTGATGTACGGATAATAGATTCATGGTCAATTTTGGTGCATGAAAAATCGAATATAATGTAAAGTCATCTGAGAGGCGGACTGTACCCCTACTAACAATAGGGGCATGTGTTCCATCTGCTAACTGAACCTGTGTATGTAACTGCTCGTCAAAAGTGATAAAGTGATAGACCTCACCTGTCATATGACCATTTGCACCCGAGTCTAACATTTAAAAGAGAGATGAACTGGCGTAAGCATGAAAAATACGAGATATACCTGTAGTGGTGGTAGTAGCAGTAGTCAGACATTGAGAAGTCAGAGCGGATATAAGTATATCTAATCGAAAAATGATAGCATCCATATCACTATGCCAAGGAGGAGCAGCAGTAAGAACAACGACAGTAGGTGATGATATTTCAACAATAGCAATAGTACAGCTGCGAGGAGACGACTTAAGCTCTAGAAAGAGCTGGCCTAATCGACCACAATAATCACACTGACCAGAACCAGGAGGTATATTTCAGGTGGAAGTACTAACAACAGAGCTCTCAACAGTAGAGGTCTCAAATCCCTCAATAGTAGTCATAACAATAACAATACGTGGGCACCCGTGACAAAAAAAATTATTCTAAGATTAATAGAGAGATAAAATAAGATAGAATAATATACCTTCAGTCGAACAATAGCGATAGATAAAGAAGGTCCAAAAAACTCTCAAATAATCAAGTCACGGTGCCCAAAAATTCAAAAAATATAAATAATGAATCTACTACATAAAGAGCAGATCAACGAATAATAGGATTCGATCCTCTTAAAAGGTTGGAAAAAGAAGATAGTGGGACAAATAGATGGCAACACTACGACAAAGTACATGTTGCGAGGAGGTAAAACACGAAACTGTGAGGGAGAGCGTGATCCGACGGTGGGCTGGTTAGCTAGAGTGGGTTGGTTGGGCTTTGGGTGCAGTCGGTTTTGGGTTTCTAGGGTGAGCTAAGGTGGTGGGTCGCTGGGTTTTGCTGATGGGAGGCTGAATGCAGGTCGTTTTGCTGATGGGTCGCTGGGTTTGTGGGCTGCTGTCAGTGGTGGTTTGCTGGGCTGATTTGTGTTGATTTTTCGGCACTGTGACGAAGGGGCAGTTGGTGATGGTTTTGTCGGTGTGGTCTGGTTGATGGTGGTATATGTTGGCTGAGCAGTCGGTGGGAATAGGTGGACTGGGCAGTGAGCTTACTGAAGCATGTTGTTTCGGCACGGAGACGACTTCGCTGGTTCGGTTGTTGTTAGAGTGGTAGCTGCTTGGTGTGGTTACTGGGTGGACTGGGATACTTGCTGGGAAGTGATTGGTGGCTAGTTGTTGTTGCAATGTGGAGGAGGGGCAGCGGCTGGGTCTGTTTGGTTATGACAATTGGCGGAGGCTAGGGTTAGAATCAGGGTTGAGTTAGTGGCTCTGATACCAACAAAGAAAGAGTTAGAGCTCGTATATATAGTCAAATAATAATACAAAGTGACTTAAACATTCTTGCATTCTTGACAAAATATTAAGTCACAGGAAAGGTGAAACTAGACTATATTCCAACATTTGGCAGATAAGGGTCTATTAAAATTTTCAAGTCTAGATATTAATTTTATCGTTTTCAAATTTATATATTCCATCACTCTCAGGTCTTGTTTCCCTCTAGTATGACTAAAGTGCTCCATTTCTGCTGGTCTAAATGCGTAAGTTTGGAAGAGCTTTGATACTATGTTAACAGTCAGTGGGTTTGAAAGTTTAAGCTGAATGGATAGCAGTGTAACATAGTTTGTGGGAACCGAACAATAGGAATCATATGTCAAATGCCTAGCTATTAACATCAATCTTTGTGTTGGTTGTTAATGTTAACTTATCCACTGTGAAAGTATAGCATGATCATCAATTATTTGTTTTTATGTTCATTAAAATAAGAGCCATGCCATGGTTGTAAGTTTTAACCAAAATGCCTACTTGATTGCTTTAATTTGGACATTGCTCCTTTATTGCCAATTATGATTAAGGTCCTAGGGTTTCATAAATGGTTTGCCCCCTTGATATTAGTATCATTATGGTTCTGGTTTGGGTCTAACTGGTTGTGTAATTTTGAATGGCCACGTGTTTGCTGATTCACCAAGACTTCCACGCTCGAGAAAGAGGCATATCCAGCTTTAGATCAATTATCAGCTAAAACCAGTTCACAAAGCCTCCAACGTGTGAGGCTTATAAAAGGTCGTTTGGTTGCTCTGTCTGGCCGTGTTCAGAAGGTAACAGCATTACAGCAATTCTCATTATTGTTCAATAACAACATCCCCTGTACCCTGATTAGTAGCTAACTATAGGGTTGATTTGATTCTTAGAGGGACAAATATATCTCATTTATGGATCTTTGAGTTATTTTCTAATAAGAACAGATAGTACAATGTTTAATTGTTTGGAGAGAAGGTAAAGTCACCCTTTTCACTGTTGTTGCTGGATTCCTTACATGCAAATAGTGTTTGGATCACTTAATATCTGCTTATAGACTGGCACAACAAGCTTTAACTGGCTGAAATGTAGTCTGATCTGCATTATTGATCATGTAATCTAATTGAAAAAAAAAAGGAAGAAAGATTCTGAGAACTTATCATACTAGTTTGAATCCATAAAATCTAAGATACCCTGTCCAGTTGCTTAAAATTTGCCTATGTCTACCCAATATTCAAGATTGTTACAAACGAGTCTTACAGCTACTGCTTCAGATTATAAGACTGAAATCTGAGACAACCTTTTGATATTGATGGAGCACATTGTCTGGCAAATATATGAAATTTAAATAAAATCAATTTATGAAACAATTGTATGTTTCAAAATGAAAAACCTGTTATAATTACCTTAGAATATATTCTGCCCCTGCTTCCCTCAAAATTTCTATTTGTTCAAAATACAATCACGTTTTACTAATTTTGTAAGAAATACAAAACCTTCTGCAAGAATGTTCAACTAGAGAATAGCTTCATGTTGGGATTACAAATTTATAATTACGGCAAACTTCTGAGGCTGTTAACTCCCCTCTTATTTGGATTGGTTATCAAGAAAATTATCATATAATGCTAGCATGTTTTTCAGGTGAGAGATGAGCTTGAACATTTACTGGATGATGATGCAGACATGTCCGAGATGTACTTGACCAAAAAACTTGCTGGTCTAGAATCTGATAGGTTCATACTAAATGTTGAGCAGAAGGATGCCAATGAATCTGAATTACATGATATGAGGTGAATGGAAACACTTTGGTATCATTGCTTTTATTGGCTTCATCTAAAAGTTTGTTTACAAGTTTATGTTTGTTTACAAGTTTATGTTCCATTAGTCATCGTATATATACCACAACCATAACTGTCGCAACATTGCCATGCAGAATGCCATTGTCTATGCAAGATTGCAAAGCTTTATATCATCAGTTAGAACCATTAGCTGTGAAGCAAATGACAAGTTGACAGTGCTTTAGCTTTTGTCAGGATTGTTGCAATCTGAGATACATGGCAAATCAAGTTTGATCATAAATGAAGGATTCAGTCATTATATTCGATTAGTTTACTCTGGAATCCAATAGATATGTGAGTTTAAGATACAAAGTTAATTTCATAGTTTAAGGATCCTAGCACAGTACAATGGTAAGAGTGTTGGGCTAACAACAACCAAGTTGTTGTGGGTTCGAGTAATAGAGTAGTCATTTTGGTCAAATAATGCAAATTCTTAGGTCCAGGGACTGATCCGAGAAGTAGGTGTAGGCATACCAATCCTTTGGACAAGTCTTTCTTTTTTTTTTTTTTTGGGGCAGGGGGGGGGGTGTACAAAAAAGTTTGGGGGCTGTCTCTATATAGTTTTATATTTATCACTCAGCAAATAATACATAGCTCTGAAAATTTTCAAACTTTAGAGCCACCAGGGGGGCATAGGTCCATCACTTTTCATATGTCTACCCAGTGGAGCCTCAATTAACAGGATCATACTGGATACGTTAGTTTTGTCAAAAAGTGGAGCTGGAAATGAATGACTTGAATTAACTAGTATGCATCTGGATATGGTTTCTTTGTTAGAAATTCTGAGGGCAGATGTGAAATTGTTTAATCCAGTTTCTTGATTTGACATATTACAAACTTATGCCTACTCTTGGCCAGAAAAATAGGAATAATGTAGTAACAGCCTAATATAGAAAACAACAGTTCTTTGTTTTGAGTCTAAAGGTGAGGTGGTGTAGATACAATTGGTTCTAAAGTAATCGCATCACAATCATTGTTGAATCTGTTTTAAGTTTTCAATACCATCAACCATACTTATGGATCAAATTAAAGTTCATTTTTGTCCCGATTGATTTCAAAGTTGATGAATTTTATTAACTTTTCGTGGTTTTCATTTTCAGTGATGAGGACACAAGTGACGGAAGCAGCATCGCACCTATTAGTGGTCATAAGCCAAATATTGAAGAGTTGGAATTACTATTGGGAGCATACTTCATGCAAATGGAGGAAATCTTAAACAAACTACTCAGTGTAAGTTTTGCTCTGGCTTGCTACAACTTTTGACTCGATCCTAAGCTACTTTTACCCTGTTAATAAGTTTTCTCAATAGAATTGCATGTTTTTAAAAGGTTACTCGGTCCTTGAGGCTTGCCATAAGGTAGGGCTCAATGAGATAAAATATGATAGATCTTAATTAGTTCCATTGTAAGTTTCATTCACATATAACAACAAATATGGAAGATCGTATCATAAATTTGAGGCTTCTTTTTTCCCTTGTCACATTTTTTAGTTGATAACTACTCTTTTGCCGTCTCCTTAACATGTAGAAAACATACCCGTGTAACTTGTTCTTTCAACAATTCTACGACAAACTCTCTTATGGAAGCAACTTGGCCAAGTATGGAAAACTAGCTCCTTTGTTTTTGGCACTTTGTCATAGTAGCTGGGTTCATCATGCTTTAAAGGGAAAGTTAGCTTCGTCTATGAATTTTAATAGATTCTAATTTGTTGTCTTCATTTTCCCAGAAATATCTAAGGTAGAAACCATGTTTATACTTGAACAAAGAACTTCATTTCTATATTCAAGTTGAGATTAGAATGAGGTATTTATTTCAGACTTCTTATTCTATATATAATACATTGGCTATTTATGTTTATGTTATTTCCAAAGTCTAAGCAGTTCCTAGTACTCACAACTTCGCCAGTTTACAAAGCAAGTTATAAATATTCCTGTTAAACAGCTTAATCCTATCTTCATTCCTATTTCTAAGACATTTTTCTTGTATTGAACAATAGATTACTATTTCTTGCAAATTTACAAGATCCAAATCATCCTGATACCATTTTTTTTTTGTCTCTGGTCCCTAGCTGCGGGAATATGTCCATGATACAGAGGACTATATCAACATCATATTGGATGAAAAGCAAAATCAGCTACTGCAATTGAGTGTTATTATTAACACAGCGACGATAATGCTCAATCTAGGCATTTTGATTTTTGGAATATTTGGCATGAATGTAAGCATCCCTCTCTTCGACTTTGGAACCTATGCACAGTGGTATGCAGCTGCTGCTGGTGTTGTTGGAGGTGGCTCAATCCTATTTATTATAGCCATCTTATGGTTTAAGACAAAAAGATTGCTAGATTGATGAAACTCTGCCCCAGTGGATGTTAATTCAAAGCATGTAGTATCTGCGTTGAAGTATTGTGCTCAAGTAAACTCTCTAACCTTGCTGCAAATAAAAGACGAATGTATGTTTGGACCTTCTTTCCTATGCTGTCTAAAGGTCGGTTCAATTAAAACTGAGATAATGGTCACTGGTAGTATCAAGAACTTTCCTTCGAACTTGATGTTTTCCAAAGATTCACAAGTAGGGTAAGAATTACAAATTAGAAGTTGGAACTATCCTTATGTTATTGATTTGTACAAGTTAGCAGTACAATTGATAAAACTTGGTGGTGGTCCGTTTATTCCCTGCTTCTTCAGTATCCTTCGAACCCTGGCCGGCTCTGTCACCAGAGCCTTGTACAGACGCACAAACACCGCCACCGCAGAAAGTAAAGCAATGGACATGAACACCTTGAAAAGCTCCATCTCTCTCCTCTCGTATCTTTTTTCTCTTCCTGGGTCTCTCACAGTGTTATTGCTTTTACTTTCTTGGTGTGCTTTAGGATTTGATAGTGTTATAGATACATATTATATACAAAAGGAAATTTCTACTGCAATAGAGAAGTCTGCCATTGTAGAATGAGCAGAATTGTCGGCTATCCTTCATGCTCGTCGATTGAAAGGAAATATAAAACCGCACCCCGAAGTTGAATGTTGGGTTGAATAGAGTGTAGAATATGACTTATATGTTGGACAAAGACAAGAGTAGTTATTCAACAGGTATAATCATTTCGAAGCAGAATAGTCTAAGCTCACTTAGTTGACTATAGCAGAATAGTCTATTGATAATGAGCATCTGATTCAAAATCTCATTCAAAATCAATTGATCATGAGTGAAAATGCTTTTTAAGTATATATATCGATATTAGATAGTGCTAATCATTTGATATGAAATAAAAGTACTCATTACATCCTCCATCAAGTGGGATCCTGGCTCGCACGTGAGACTAGCAAATAAATTATCAAACGTATACAAGAAAATGTAAATGGGTAAGCGACTTGACTTAAGAACCATCAAGACCCAACTTAGATACCATGAAAATATCGATGACAAGAGAGAATGAAAAGAAAATGAGATAAAAATATTATTGCAGTTACATAATTTTGTGAGCATAATGATTAAGAGTAATATTATTTGGACCTAAAAATTTGACATAATTTCCTGATATAATGATGTGGCTTCAGCAGAACTATTGGATCAATACCAAATTTCAATGTTTGATGGACCCACAGTCAATCCAAAAATCATAGTGAATTAGGTCAATAAATTAGGTCCCGATAACATTGCTCAATGATTAAAGATACATAATATAAACCCTTCATAGCAAGGCAAAGGCAAAGCATTACCAGAAAATAATTAAACTACTTCAAATACTAAAATTTTCTAACACACACCACCCCGGGCCCAAACTGATGCGAGGGTAACATCAAGAGTTTGTCAAAAAAAAAACAAAACACATAATGATACAAAACTTCGTAAAAAAATCTGCGAAAACATATAAACTAACCTTGAGTGATCCTAGTCATTCAATATAAGATACAAACTCTCTTTACAGCCATGGCTTAGAAGGTTTCGATACGAGTTTAGGTAACTGGACTAAGGTTTTTTATCCTGTAAACCACCAACCAAAGTCTCAATGATGTCCAGTAATTACAAAGCCAGTTGCGCAGACTACAAAAGATCTATATCATCTGGTCAAGAGGGTATATGATTTTGAAACTTGTTGATTGGTGTTGTTAAGCCTGACCATCAATAGGGATGTACAGATCCAATCCGAAACAATGTATTTTGCTAATTTAAGTATCAGACGCTGATATCAGCTTCATTTCTGGCAGGACTCCTTTCATGTGTTTCCCTTGAACTGCCTTACCACAACAAAAGATAAATGATTCACTCACCATGGGTGTCTTAACATATACGGAATAAGCATCTTCACCTTCCCTTATCAAACCTATACCAAATCTCATATGTATCCTTCCACCATGATGGTCGTGACTTCAACTGCAGCTCACCTCTGGATTTGACTTCACAATTCTGCTCTGTCTATTTCATACTTAATGATAATCACCATTAGTCTCCAGAGACCACAAGAACAAGACCCATCGCTATAATGATGGAGCAATGCATCTCTCCAGTTGCACCCTTCCGTAAATAATTACACCTGAGCTTGGTATCTCTGTGTGTGTGTGTGTAAAATTTCCATAAAAGTTTCTCTGGTCACACAACCCAGTGGACCATTCAAGGAATTGTATTAAGAGGCCCCAAAATAATTGCCAGCTTACCACTGCAAGTTACTTGCACAATATGAATTTCTTCCCCTGCAGATGGGACTGCCTCATGCCATAAGCATACGATGATCTCATCCAGATTGCTATCCTCATGCCTACACTTCAAGAAGATCTAAAATTGGATCTCCACCTGAGTTCAACAGTACTTGACAGATGTGAAGGTGCATATGAAAATCTGGGTTCATTCTTCTATCACCAATAGTCTCCACAAGAACAGGATCCATCTTTAAAATGATGGAACCGATTTATATCTCTCACAATGATCTCTCGTCCATAGATTTTTGAAATGAACTTGGTGGCTGTGTGACAGTCTCCACAGATTCGAAGGTTTTTTGTCACTCGAAGAACTGTTCCGTGACCGGTATTAAGAAGCCCAAAGGCAATGGCCAACTTCTCGCTGTGGGTTGTCAGGTTTTGCTCTTTCTCCTCTTCACTGACATCATGCAACACAGCATTAGTATCTGGTATGTAACCAGCTGCCTTAATCTTCTCAGGCAGTGCCTCCAATAACGCGCAGATTTCCTTAGCCTGTGGATGAGACAAATCTCCTCCAAGAAATAAATGAGCTTTCCCATTGATCTCAATCCAACTGCATCCAGGACTCTTCTTCACACACTGCAATTTTAATAGAGTTCTCAAATTGTTCACTTCCTCCCACATCCCAACATCAGCATACATATTTGAGAGCAGAACATAATTCCCACTGTTGTCTGGTTCTAATAAAAACAACTTTCTAGCTGCTATTTCTGCAATCTCCAAATTCCGGTGGCTTCGACTGGCAGCCAATAGCGAGCCCCATATGCTTGGTCCTGCTTGCATTGGCATTTGAGAGATAAGGTCATACGCTTCCACTAATCTCCCAGCACGACCAAGAAGGTCTACGACACAAGCATAATTTTCGTGTTTTGGTTCCACAAAATACACTTTACTCATACAGTCAAAGTATTTCAAGCCAATATCGACAAGACCAGAATGGCTGCATCCTGACAACAAACCCGTGAATGTGATTGCATCGGGTTGAATCCCATCTCTTATCATATCCTCGAATGTTGACACAGCTTCTGGTCCATGGCCATGAGAAGCATATGCAGTAATCATGGTGTTCCAAGTAACCAAACTCTTTTCATTTTGACGGATCCTATCAAAACAACTTCGGGCATCAACAAGGCTCCCACATCTAGCATACATTGCAGCAAGTGCTGTTTCCACCGAAGAATGAAAATCCAAACCGATCTCACTAGCATACTTATGAATCCGTCTACCGCACTCAAGAGCAGCAGAGTGTGCACAAGCAGGTAAAACACTCATGATTGTAACCCAATTAGGCTTCACCTCCGAATCCTCCTGCAACATCTCATCAAACAAACCCAACGCCCTGTCCGCCAATCCATTCTGAGTGTACCCGGATATAATAGCAGTCCAAGACACAATGTTCCTATTCGACATTTTCCCAAATAAATCCTCCGCAACAGAAATCTTGCCATCTTTCATGTGCCCAGCAATCAATGCATTCCAAGATGAAACATCTCTCACAGGCATTTCATTAAACAACTTATGGGCATCACTCAATTCACCACATTTCACATACATATCAATCAAAGAAGTCCCTACGTACATATCAAACTCCAACCCAGTTCTCAAACTCAACCCATGAACGCATTTTCCCAATCCAACACGCGCTAAGTCAGCACAGGACTTGAGCACAAAAGGGTATGTAAAGCAATCACCTTTAAGACCCAACAAATGCATTCCAAAGTAGGTTCTTAAAGTTCTCTCGAAAAACCCGTACCAGGTATATGCTCGAATAATTGAATTGTACAAAAGAGTAGATGGACTTGTAATACTATCAAAGAGGACTATAGCGGAGTTCAAATCGCCTGAGCTAGCGTACATTGCTACCATCTTTGAAGCAACGAAGGCGTCGGGTTGGAGACCTCGGAGGACCATGTGGGAGTGGACTTGTTGGCCTAGTTTGATGAAGTTTTGGCCAGTCAAGAACTGGAAAATGGGTGGGTATGATGAAATGTGAGGTGGGTTTTCTGTCAATGGATGCAAAAGAGTTTGAAGCATTCCTTTTTGAGAAGAAGGGTTCCATTTCACAAATCTTTCCATTAACAGAGAGAAGTACAGGGGGAAGATGGAATCTGTGCACTTTTAACTTTTAAATTTATATTTATAATATAACACAGCTTTTAACAAGTCCCGTTCTCAGATTCATTCTTTCGGCCATAAATTTACTATTTTTTTTCTTAATATCTCCAATTCCATCGTATCTAATTTTCTCTCTCACCCTCGCCCAATATGTCAGTCAGACACCCTTCTCTCTCTTTCTCTTAAAAGAGCATCTATAATATAAAATACAGCGGACTTCAACAAGTTGATCGGACAGTCACAATTCATTTCATCCAACGGTCTACAATCACTCAATTCAAATTTTTTTCCCGGCCATGCATTTCTCTTTTCCCCTCCTTAAACCTGCTATCAATCACACCAATGACACCATGCCGTCAATCACACCTGCACCCCATCACCTTCCTCTCTCCCTCTCTATCTCTATCTCTCTCTCTCTCTCGGCTCTCATCACCTGCAACCCATTCCACACCCCATTCCTCTCTCACCCACTCTCTTATACCAGCGTCGCCTCCACCACCAGCACCACTAGCACCACCATCTCAGTTATGTCTTTCCCTCCCCTTTCTTTGCCACACGCACAGACAAACCCTAAATCCCATAATCGACTCCGGTGAACTACGACTACAATCAATCATCCACTGCGAATAGCCGAACTCAGGCAAGATGTTCTTGATTTGGGTTTAATCTGGAAAGATTTTAAATTTGATAGAGTTTTTTTATGGGCTATGTGATTTTCTTTTGAAGTCATTGTTTATAGAGTGGTTTGATTTTCTTTGTTCACCTCCATATATTCATGTGATGTTTTCCCTGCGCAACACACACAAACAAACCCAGCACACCCACACCCAACACCCAACACAAACAAACCCACACACTTTGGACACCAAGTGTTTGTTGGAATGACCGACAAAAATTTTGTTGTTTATCATTATTATTATTATGAATTTCCTGCGTCTGTTCCGTCGACATCAGTTTGATCCAATGTGAACTGGATGCTGGATGATCCTCTCAGTAAATCACATCTTGGAGGGTTCTGAACCAAAATGTCACCAGTTTTAATGCTCACTAAATGTCACCACTCATTGAGATAGAGGCGATGTGCATGTCTTTTATTAGTTGTCCTGTGTTGCCTTTGTCTCCCTCTTGGACGGTTCATCTGATGATCTTGCTTTAGGTTTCAGACATGACTTATGTTAATCTTCTGTAGTTGTTTCATTTATCAAATACTTGAACCTCTAAATTTTTTACTTTTTTATTGAAAATACGGCTCTCATACATGAACCGCTTGTCAAAGTCATGCATTTTCATATGGAATTCATATATTAAAATATGGCTTTCTTTTTCTTTCCCTGAAGTATCTAGTCCCAGTGAAAAAGGAGACACAAGGGAGAACAAATCTCTGTATTGGTAGTTGGCTGAAGTCCCAACCTCGCAACAAGGTAGTTTTTTTTTCCTGGATTGTTGAATGACCAAATTATTCTTCTGTGCCCTGCTATTTTGAAATTGAACCAATAAACACATTTTATAGCATATACATACAAAGATACATACCTACATATGCATGTGTGTGTTTTTTTTTTGGGGGGGGGGGGAAATATTGTTTCAGATTTATTTTGTGCTTTCTCATGCCAAAGTCTTCCAAGAGTCTCGGAATACTCTGTCATATTAACCTGCGATGCAATTCTAATTGTGCAACTCTACTTATGGCAGAGTAGATTGTTAACAAAGGTCTTCCAGAAGAGCCAAATGATAGGGACTCATTTTTTTACTTTTCTCTCCTTCCCTATTTGTGCCATTTTCAGTGGAGTATCCATGCCATTTACAATATCTGAGACTTATACTTGAATTACTTTGTTCATGACTTATCATTATTTTATATTTGGAACTTACTCTGGAAGTCTTTGAATTTGCTTTTCTTGATACTACCCTAGACCATCATAAATTTTACATGCATACTAAGGACTTTTCTCTGCTTTATAATCATTTTGCACACTCTGGTTTGGTCAACCACAAATATTGCGAAATTTTGTTTTACATTTATGGCTAAGTTTCTTTGTGGTGTTTTTAATGGTTAAGTTCCTCTGTAGAATCTAAATGGTTATTATTTTTGTATCTGAATACATTCTAAGGTGCATCAGCCATTATAACCAATGAGTCCTTGTACTACAAGTGCAAAAAAAAAACATAGTTTTGTTCCTAGCTCTAATATACTACATTTTTCCTTCATGTTTAGGATATTTTAGCTACAAAAGTAAATGGTTATTCAGAGAGATCGAGTTACATACGCGACAATGGTAAGGTTGTGAGGGTTGATGCTGCCAATATAAAGGAAAGTGTAGAGAAAAGCCTTAAACCTCTCAATACTGATTACATTGATTTATTGCAAATACATTGGTGAGTTTTTATTATTAATCAATTCTTGAAATGCATGTACTGCTTCACTTTCATTTCTTTTCACTGGATTGGATACGAACCTCAAGATATATCAAGTTTGCAATAAAACAATAGTTATTTTTATTAATAAGTTTTGAACCATTTACACATTTACCTCCACATAGTTCAAGATATTTTAGAGTTACTCTGAATTCACCGGTGCAGTTGCTCCTGACAAAATTCCCCCAAGGTCTTGGACTTCTTTTAATCTTGGATATGAAACATGGTTTGGTGTTTGACCATTTTCCATTTGATGTATCCTTATATTGCAAGCTTGAAAGCCTATGGTAATTGGGCATGAGTGTGTTGGGATCATAGAAGGGGAAATAAAAAGCAGGCAATTCTACTGGAAACGAAAATTGGTTTACTCAATTGGTATAAAACTACTAATTGTTGTTTATGTATTGGTAATTAATTTACTCATAAAACAAATTGGCATTTACTATCTTTCTTCACTCAATTATGTTTAGAAGGATATTATGAGATGACTTTATTAATTTAAAGTGGATAAATATTCTTCAAAATCTCGCCAACCTAATATTTATTTTTTATTTTACTTGATGTTCCATTTTATGCGGAGATGGTCGTGTTAACCAAAGTCTTGCCGAGTGAGATGGTTTTCACTAACCAAGATCACTCGCATTTTTCTCTAAAATGTGTTTGTGGCACTTGCGACAAAATTTGGGACAATATTATAATTATCAATTTTATGTTGAATCCAACTAACGACAAAAGTAAGGGGCCTTATGTTTTATTTTGCCTCACATATTTCAATAATTGGTTATATCTATAATATAAAACACAACGGACTTCAACAAGTTGATCGGACGGTCTTCATTCATCCAAAGGCTTCAACATCTAAAGGCTCACAATACATCTCATTCAAATTCAAAAGTCTATATATTTTCCCCCTAAATCCATCTCATTTAATTTAACCCAACCCAACCATCACATCCAACCCAACTTAACCAAACCCAACCTATCCCACCTTCCCTCACCCATCATTCCTTTATTCGACATTTTTTTTTTCATCTTTCTTATACTTTCAACTCTCCCATACCAAATCCATAGCCACCGCCACCAACGCCAGAACCCCCCACTGCCACCACAGCACCGCCACACCAAAATCACAACCACCGTCTGCACCACCACTTACATCGCCAGCACCAGCACCAGCACCTTCACTATCTCAGTTATGTTTTTCTCTCACCCTTTTTCTGCTACACCCACACACAAATCCCAAATCCCCCCAAACCCGAAATCCCAAATACCCCCAAATCCCTTCCCTCTATAGTCTCTATTTGCCCTCCCCTCTCTCTGTTACACTCACACAAACCCCAAACCCAAACCCAAACCAGCCCATCCCCACTGTATTTTCTCTCTCTCTCCCTCTCTCTCTCTCTCACACACACACACACACAAAAACACCCATCCATCAACTGCGTCTCTCCTCATCCAACCCTCAATTTTTCGCCCACATACACCCACCAACCTGTGCACACAACTCCCCTCTCTAATCACTTTGTTTTTCAACAACCCTCCCCCCACCCACCACCAGCTATTAATTCTGTGAAATTAGTGTTAATTTGATGAGTTTGATAAGATTTGTGGAGTTAGTCGTTGTGAGTTTGATAAGATTTTCTATCTTTTTTGCTTCCATATTTTTTTTTCACTTTCATGGTGTGTTTTTCATAGTGTTTTGTCTGATAAATGTCGATTACTCCAAAATGTCGATTTCAAATTTCTTTTTCTTTTTCTTTTTCTTTGTGCAGCATTCTATTGATTACTAGCTGTGGGTAGATCTGGAGCTTTATGTCGTCGTTGTTCACATGGCCGCTGATCTGGAGCTTTCCTTGAGATCTGTTTTACTTGGCCATATTTTGTGGATTTTCAGTATGTTTATTGGATTTTCAAGAGTCTATTGGATTTTTTATCTTATATTTTGTAATTCATTATCCATGCCTGTTAATTGTTTTTATTTTCTCATATTTTCCTTAGTTTAGTATTACCATATCATCATACAGAAATTAATGTGCTAGACTTGGGTAGGGAGAAATTATTTTCTCATATTTACTCTGTGTTGTGGGTTTTATTTATTCATTTGAATACTATGGTAGGGATTTGTTAGGAGTCTTCAACTTTTACGAAGTCTTTCTTATGATGCAATTCTTATGATGCAAATTCTTATGATTTTATGAAGTCTTTCTTATGATGCAAATTTTTTATTGCTATTTAATTTATGGCTACTTTGCTTTTCTTTTATGTTAGAGGATGCATGTGGATTTGGCTGTGGACTGTGGCATACAGAGCAAATCCTCTATTTCAGGTATGCTTTGGATATTCACATTTCTCTGTGTATGTATTATGCTTGCATTTTTCGTTTGAGATCGGAGTTTTCGTATATCCGTATGTATATGCACGAATAACCTTTGTTTTTAGTCTCTGGATTGCGAATTTGTGATTGCCTTTGTGTTTGAAAATTCGTGTCCATTTAGTCTATTTTGAGTTAGAATTTTCAATCATATGGGTTAGTCGAGTAGATGTGA